TGATCCCTGCTCCTGCAGCTATATATCAATTCATGATTCAGATTACTGCTGCGTAATTACAAAATCCTCCTCAGTTTGCACAGAGAAAAGACAAAGCACATGCTGGTGGGATCACATGTCTGCACCTTCAAACAGTCATCAAAGTGTGCCTGGGGAGCTCTGCAACGGAGGCGACATAGGGATGCATTCTTTACTTCACCTGATGTCGGCTAGCTGGACGTATCCCTCCAGGCTCCTCTGTTTGTCGCCACATGAAACTCTCTTTTTCTTCATGATCTTGCAAACCAACTTGTCCTCCTGTGATCCTGCCGCTGAAACCTGACCTGACAGCAGACCTCTGGCTGTCTGCCACCGCATCCTCAGTAACCCTGCTCACCTGTGTACAGTGTGTACAGTGTGTGTGTGTGGGATAGAGACCAGACCAGAGAGGCTGATTGTGCAGACATCACAGCAGGATGAGACAGTATTCAAGCCGTCTGCTGTAAAAACGTCACTCTCGAAGCCCGTAATTATTGAGAGAAGTGTTCTGTGTGTAGAAACGTGTGTGTGCTCATTGAGCCGTACCTGATAACCGTGCTGTCAACTTTTCAGACAGACGTCGTGTCGAGTTACTGCTCATGTTTGTAACTGTGCACCTTTGTGACGTCACAGCGCCGCCATTGTCTGCCCTGTGACTGTTCATTTGAATGGCTGCTTGTGTTGTTGCATGTTCTCTCGCTGAAACCTGGAAGTGTTTGTGAGTCAAACATTGTCCTGTGTGTGTGTGGATGCACAAGCATTTGTGGTTGTGTTTAACAGAATTTGTCTGTGTCACCCCTTATCACGAGAAAGAAACACTTTTAAGAGGGATGTTCAGACGGCAATCTACAGTTTGAACGGTACACAAAAACACACACAGGATTGTTTCCTTTTGCGTGGTTGATAATGTTAAGTGTCTGCGCTCGTTGCTCCAAATGCACCACAGATATTGCACCATACTGCTTGCTTGAGCACTTAACTTGCAGGGGAAAGACCATTAGAGGCAATCAGGGCTGTCGTTTTTAATGGGCAGATCGAGGCGAAGTGGAGATGGACCTGTGGCCTCGTGGAACAGTTAATGTACTGGACCACTTGACGACTAGGTAATGAGAAAAATGCAGGTGGAAGTGGTGAGACCGCACAGCTGTGGCTGAGGCAAAGGCCCAAATGGAAACCAGGCTGTTGGCTGTTTTCTACCAGCAGCTGGGAAGCCACTTACTGCATCTCAATGCAGCTCTGTGCAGTTAACGTGCAGCGTTTAGGTGCCCACATGTGAGCAGCTGGTGTGTCACTCAGCTGCATGTTTTCACTGTTGCACAACTCTGAGTAGTGAAATTTGTGGGTTTTTGTTTGTTATTGGCTGACGGAAATTCTCATCTGAGAAAGTGTTTTTGAACACGTAGAGAGGAACTGCGGCAGGATAACCACCTCCTGTCGTACTCTTGATAATAACCTTAGCAGCAGCAGCAGCAGCTTGTGTGTTGGACTGCGTGCACGGTGCACAATTTGCTTGTACTTTGATGCGTGCAGCACTCATCTATAAGTGTTTTTATTGTGTGTTTGTTCTGTTCTGGGGAACCAGATTGTCAGATGAGGGGAAGGCAGGCTGAACTTTTGTTCTGTTTGCTTAGTGGGCATTCCTCTGAGCACTGGCCCTCGTCCAAATTAAAGCCAGCGGCCTCCCACCGGACTCGGCCCAGTGCTGCCCTCACAGGGACACAGTGACACTGACTCATTTGTGCCTGTCAACTTCTTGTTAATGAATGTATGAGGGGATAAACAACAGCACAATGGTGGCATATATGACTGAAATACTAATCGCCAAGTTGGTGTTCTTTTTGGTATTGCTGGATTGTTTGAACAGTTTCAGTTTTGTCTGGTTTTTTCTTTTTTTTTTAACTGGGTGTATTGTTGGATTAGAGAGTAAGACTGCAACTAACAAATGTTTTCCTTGATTGTTTTGTTCGTTGTTTGATCTGTACAATGTCAGAAAGTCTTAAATAACAACAGTCAGTGTTTCCTAAAGCCCAAGACGACATGTTTTATTTGTGTTTTGGTCCACAACTTAAATGCATTTAGTTGAATGTAACAGAGGGGAAAGAAAAAAATCACATTCAGGAAGTTGCCATAAGAGTTTATATTTTATTTTAAATGACTTGGATTAGACCGAATGATTTAACTCAGATTAAATAATCAACTATCAGAATGGCTGGCAATCTTTTTTTGAGTTCACTGTTTATTAATTGTCACGGTGTGAATGCAGAGCTATAATTTTACTCACACAAAGCTTCAACCGTTAAATAAAACATTGAACAAACTTTAACGGTCTTTTACTCCTGGTTACATCTTTCTAATGGCGTGTTTGCAATCCAGGCATTCTTGCCTTTAAGTTAACTGACTTCACTGTATGTTAAGAAGATGGAGGATGTTATTTGTCTTCTGTTACTTCTGACGTTGTTGTTCTGTCATTTTCTCCTCAGTAGTTAAGTATTTAAAGGCTGATTTGTACTCATCCCACCACCACACCCTTCAGTCATCAGAATGATGTTTTGAGAACAAATAAATTAAACTTTTTTTTGTGACTTTTTCAATTTACAATAAACTTGCTCAGAACTATAACCTCAGTGTGTAACTCGTCTGTGTTTTCTGTCTAGGTCCTTATGGTTGAGGTGGTGTTAGGTGCTCCTTGCCATGCCTCCTGCCATGACAGACCTCCTGGACATATGGGCGGCCCACTCGCCCCTGGCCGGACACGCTCCGGACCAGATCACTGTGGACTTCTTGCTGCCCACCGGTATCTACATCCAGATGGACGTTCCACGCGAGGCGACAATTCAACACATCAAACTGGTGAGTGGAGCTGGGCTGGTGACTGGGATGTGTGTGTTGTTCTGACACAACGGATGACAGATGAATTGTAATAAATCAACTTTGAACACACTTTGAGACATTTAGATGAATTCCATTTGCTTACCTGCCTGTAGGTCTTTTGTCAAAAGGAAAAACACAAACACACAGAGCTGGTCGGTCAGTGAGACATGATCCAATGCCTGTTTTGATGGAGGTAATTGTTGTGGCCGGCTGGGTGTTTTTGTTTGCCGGTAGCTGTCAGCGTGCCGGTAGCTCATGACCTCATGTGTGAGACTAGATGAGGCTTTAGAACTTAAGAAAACTGCTCAACAATGTGTGCTAATCTAAAGATGTTTGGATGTTCTTAGCAACTGATTTTGTGATTTAATGGATTTCTAAATGTAGTCCAGTCGACCTCTACACGCGGTTGGGGTCTGCGTTGACTTGCCATCAGCTGCTGCCCCCATTGCTCACGTGAGCAGATTGTCCATATCTAATGACTATCTGATGCCCAGCCCTAATCCACAACAAGTTTGACAAAGTTAACATCACACAAAGGCACGGCTGTGTGTATTGGACGGCGTTTTTATTTGTCTAGTTACTTGGTGTACAACATTTCCTGCTCTGAGACCCAAATCAAATATGTTTTCGTCAGACAGGAACTATTGAATATACCCTAAGGAGTGTGTTCTGAATAGAAAATGAACAAGTCGGTCAGTATGCGTGTACATGATGTCTGACTGCCATTTTCTTAAAAAAAAAAACAAACACTTACATCTTTGTCAGCCGTTCAACATGACCAGACATATAGACAGATACTTGCCCTTAGCTGTAAAGCTTTCGCTTGTTTTTCATGGAATTAGTGATACCAGAAGTGTCTGCTGCTGCTTCGTGGTCTCTGTGAGCGTGCACAAATAAAAGATGCCTGTTGACACAGACATGTGAGAGATCTCCAGCCTCTGAATTTAAAATGTACAGAAACGTTAACACTGAAGGCAGGGCACTGAGATGCCTCCGATACTTCTCTTGACAATTTAAAAGGGCTGTTGTGAGGAAGCTGGTACTAGCTTAGCTAAAGGGCAGAATGTTGCTTTTGACCTTTGCCAGTCTTCCAGACTGCTGTGTTCCAGATATTTTTATCAGTGATCTGATGTCTCATGAATAGCCGTCTTCATTTACTCAGTCTTGAGTCTGAAATCATGACTATGACCAGCTCTGATTTCCCAGAAATCACCGTTTTCAAATGTTACAAATGACGATAGCACAACTATCATTTTCTAAGATTGTGATCACAAAATTACTACACAACAAAGTTAATGAATTGTCATGCATGTGGTCTCTGTAGAGTTGTCATCAATGTAACTTGGAATCACGAGTGTTCCTGGAGAACAAACTCTACGTTGGGAGGGCAAATGTGTCTTGTTCCAGCTTGCTCCAGAGCAGCTCTGTGGACAAACACACCGTACCTGAACACCTGAACACCTGAGCCCGTGCTGTGGGGCCACAGGAACATGAATCATACCAGCACGGACTGATGAACGTAGTATTCACATCCTGATTGCTTCACCCGAAAGCTGTGTCATGTTGACATGAGTAATGCTTATTCCTGGTCATGAAACCTGTACTTTGTCAACATATGACATCATACCAATACAGTGTGGTGCATTTATTAGTTTACGGCATCATTTAACGATAAAAACCAAATGATTCTGTTCCTTTCAAAGTGTTGTGATCGTAGTGTGTGCGCAAAGAAGATGATATAAAGTCTTGTTTTTTTGAAGCCAAAATCAGATCATCTTAATTTCATGGCCATCAAGCTAAAAACAAAGCTGCTGTTCATCCAGTTGCATGTGTTTTAAGTAGATTTATTCAATATAGTCTAATGGAGGCCATAAAAACTCTCCCTGTGGTTTCATGGAGCAAAGGTACTGGAGTGTAAACCATTTCTTCTCCTTCCTTCCAGCTCTTATGGAAGCAAGCTCAGACCTTCCCGCTGTTTCCTGCCCTCGGCGAAATGGAGAGTCACATGTTCGAGTGTGTCAACCAGGCAGCGGTGCACGAAGAACTGGAGGACGAAACCCGTCGCCTGTGCGACGTTCGCCCTTTCCTGCCTGTCCTGAAGCTCGTGACGCGCAACTGTGGCCGAGCCGAGCGCCTGCTGGACTCCAAAATCGGCGTGCTCATCGGCAAGGGTAGGAGAGCGTCGCTTCTAGGACTCTCCGTCGGTTTAAAGCGATCACGCACGCTCCCACATGCACTACTCCCTCACTGATTGATTCATTCGCTGTCTCTGTTTGACATTCACAACAAAGAAAAGCACTTAGGAGTTGGAAAGTGGGACAATATATCTTTCCCGACACACAACAAGCCTTTAGCACCTCCTCCAGTACGCTAAGTAACCCCGCTAGTCAGCACATTGGCCTCAGCCGTCAGACCGAAGGCTCCTGGGCAGCTGGTCCAGGTGGCTGAGAGAGAAGCGTGACGATTGACTGGACGTGTTCCCGACATGTCTTCCATCACACGTCACTTTGTGTTATCTCTGGTCAAGATTAGGCTTTTTTACAGGAGCGGCGAAGATCAATCACTGCTGTGTAAAAGCCTCTGAGGTGTCGGGTCCAGAATGTTTATTTATGTGAAAGACTTTCTCGTTTGACGTTAAAGAACTTGGGTTGTTCTGCTGTGACTTTATCCTAAATACCAGCAGTACAGATGATTTCACTGATTAGTCGGTTGCGAGAAAATGAATCAGCAGCTGTAAGAATAGATCAGTTGTTCAAACATTCCTCAAGCGAAGATGCCTAACATTTACTTGCTCCAGTTTCTCAAATGTAGTTCATTTTATTTGTCATACGTGACGGTAAACACGTGAACTTGGACTGCTGACTGAATAAAACAAGATATCTGAACACTTCTCACTGGGCTGCGGGAAATTGTAACTGGATGTTTTAAAGGCCTCATTTAATGGCTTGTCAGGAAAATAACTAAGATTTATCACAGTGAAAATAATGTTTGAATGCAGCCCTGCTAGCTGTGGTTGAATGTGAGGGAAAACAAGTGATACACGCAGTTAAATGCATGTAGGTGCACATAACTACAAAGAACCAGTCTTGTCTCTGCTCTGTATCATATGAACACATTTAGCCCCCTTATGACCAAATTATCCAGGATTAAGGAAGTCCTCCGGTCACAGCAGACCTCTTCAGAAGAAGAGGTGCGATGCAGGAGAGAAGCAGCTCTGAGTCTAATCGAAGGAGACTCAGACGATATTGATATTCTCCCCTCCTGGCTCCACTTTGGTCTGACATGATCCTTTAAAGGCTTTTGTCAGAGTGAAGTGGTGTTTCTAAAGGAACCCCACAGGCATGTCTGGGTAGTCACGCACATACCCGGACCTCGTGCACAGTAACAAACTATTACATGCTCAACCAGCCGACCGTGTTTTTTTTTTTTTTTTCCCCCCTTATAGAAATGCAGACGCAAACCGACCTACATGCTAGCACGGCTAATGTGGTCCAGAGCCCTCCTCTGAGCGCTGAGGGTCACATGAATGTTAAACGGCTGTAAATGTCAACATGTTGATTTCATTACCGGCACCTGCTTGATTAAGAATACAGAGACAAAAGCTGAAAAGGGTACAGAGAGATAAATATGATGAGGCAAACTGTAGATCTTGCTGCTGTGCATATCAGGAGGCTTTAATCCCACGAGAGACTATAATTTGCCTTCCTCTTGTTCATTCATCACTAGTGTCTGGCATCGAGGGTCCTACAGGTGGTTGTGAATATTCCATGACTGTTAAAGCCCGTTTGTTGAAGTGTGTTACCTGAGAATGTACGGAGGCCTCCTGCAAGAGAGCTCTTTATGCTTTGTTAGTTTCATTCATAAAGAAATTACTCATTTAAATTCAGTTCTATTCACAACATATGTCGTCTCAATTCTATAATTAGAATCTATGCTTGTTATAATTATTTTATTCTGAGTTTAAGACGTCTTCTGAAGGCACATGATTAGAAACCTCGCTACAGCAGCGTCCTTTCCTAATCTCCTCCAGGTCTTCATGAGCTCGACGCCATCAACGACCAGGAGGTGAAGGACTTTCGCAGCAAAATGTTTCGTCTCAGCGAGGAGAGGATGCAACGAGTGCAGCTGATGACGTGCACAGAGTGGCTGCAGGCCTGCTTCTCCCCGCAGCTGGAGCCGGCGGCTGGAACGGCCATCACGGACGGAGTCAACGACCGGCCAGCGGACCTGAAAGTCATTATCCACTTTGACCAGTCCCAGGTGAGGCTCTGCCACCCAGCACTGGAAACGCCGACAACTCTGAGGAGAGTTTAACTGCTGGAGAGGACGCTGAGTGCATTTGTAGTTTATACAGGGTTTAAATAAAGTTAAAATAATTAGAATTTTGGTGATGAAAGTATTGAATTGTGACCAATTTAACTGACAACTTCTAACACCCCTTTCTCCCAAAAAATAAAAATTCATAACCACGAGTAGAGTCACCCAACGTGTGATGACTGTAATAATTTTAGTGTGAAATATTTTAATAGAGGTGAGGTTAGGACACCCTGGATCTTTCTGCGTGGAGTCTCCATGTTCTCCCCGTGCAGCGTGGGTTCTCTCCGGGTTCTCCGGCTTCCTCCCACAGTCCAGAAACATGTTGAGGTTAATTGGTGATTGTAAATTGTCCGTAGGTGTGAATGTGAGTGTGCTTGGTTGTCTGTCTCTAAGTGTAGCCCTGTGATAGACTGGTTACCTGTCCAGGTGAACCTGTCTTCACCCTGAGTCAGCTGGGATTGACCCCCTGCGACCCCAGTGAGGATTATGCGGTGTATAGATGATGGATGGATGTTTTAATAGTATCTATTAGAAATAAATGAAAATATATAAAAATGCAAAGAGAGCTAATATATTTTACACCATTTGATTTTAGACGATCTGAGGCCTCCCACGGAGCTTGGAGGGCTTTATAGTAATAATAATAATAATAATACATTTTATTTATAGAGCGCTTTTCACAAACTTAAAGACGCTTACATGTTTAAAAATAAAAACAAAACAAATAGAAACAAAACAAATACAAGTATACAGAATAAGTCAAGCTAAAGAAAACAGAACAAACATTTGGAAAAGCAAAAAATAGAAAAAAAACATTATTACTACATAACATTATTCCTGTCTGCCTTGTGCAAACAATGCATCTTTAAACTGAATTCATTAAGCAAACCAGGTCCTTGAATTGTTTAATACTGTTTAATGTTATGTGAAGGGGTGCTTTAAAAGATGATACGATGCTGAGAGGGATGCTCGTTGACAGACGGCTCCAAATGACAAAAGACGGCTCATTTATGCATGTTTATATTCCATTTTTGTAATTAGCTAGAAGAAACCAAGATAAAAGACAGACAAAACACAGATGATAACACACCCTTGAGCCATGTTGTCTGTGGAACATCTCTGCATGCATAATGAAGTCAGGATAACGGCTCGAGTTACTGTACCGCTACAGAAGACAAAACTACCTTGTTTGAGGAGCAGAAGCAGCCGTGTGACTCCACCAGCGCAGCCACATGTACAGCCGCTGTTGCTGCTCGCAGTTGCCAGCTCCCCAAAAGTCACGTGATTGAGCCCAACTAGCAGGACATGTGACAACACTAAGTGGGTCAAAACCATCAGCAAAATTATGCCATTCTCCCACACACACACACACACACACACACACACACTAGCATTTGGGCTCAAGGGACCAAAACACTGATTAAAATGAACCTCTCTTCCTGCTCTGAACTCACTTGACTGTGTCTTTCCATCTGTCTCCGTCTGTCTGTGCCTTTATATTAGCCTCAGTTATAGAAATAATATTTAATAAAAATAAAACAGATGGTCACGTCCTTCCAGACCCTCGTATATCAGCTTTGATCAACATCAGACACACACACACACACCAAGACAGGCCATCTGTGCCACAGCGCTCAGGTGGACTTTGGCAGGAAGTCTTATTTGGGAGGTCAGACACAATAAGCCACATTATAGGCAGGAAGTGTGGTGGTGTTGTTTATTGTTCAAAAGCGAATATGACCGAGCTGTGATGTGAACCTTCCTTTCGGTGATCTCATTAAGGCTGAGGGGCGTTTAATGATTAACCTCGCTGTTGCTGCTCTTCGCATCCAAATCGTATCTAATTTCAACATTAAAATAAGGTTTCCACAGTTTAGAAAGACGTGTGTTTGTGCTTTCAGTACTTGAGGGACAACTACTGTAGGTTTGTAGTTCCATCATAACGTGGCCATTCTTTGTTGTTAATTTTGAATGGAGGACGTTTTTATTAAACCTTCAGGAAATGATAATTCCATCTCAGGTATCAGGTCAGTGCTGTGCTATAAATATCATGAAGCGCTGAGCTCAAGAGTGGCAGGCGCTCGTCTCACATTAGACCGGCTGTGATCACGTATGGTGGACACACTTCAGTGCACAGCAGAGTTCATTCAGCCGAGAAGGCACACGTGTCCAAGGCCCACCTGTTAAAGTATAATCTGGATCATAATGATCCGGATTTGGAAATCCCTTGTTTTGCTATCCAGGATCAGGTAATCCATTTTACCCTTGCACTGGTTTTTTTTGCATTGGGTCGCCCTGATGCAGATCTAAACTCTTCAGAATCACCAAATCCTGATGACCAGTCCTCTAAATGAGTCTGTGGACATGAAAGTTCAGAGAGACTTTGCTGATCTGTATGAAGTGTGACTGTGTGATAAGCCTTTTAATGTCCTTCAGTCTCATTCAGAAACAGAATTAGTTTTATTGTCCACGTATGTTTACATATGAAAGACATTTGACTCTTTGTAGTGGCTCCCAGTGTGCTATTAGTTCCAACAACAATGTTCAGAGCCAGCAAACAAAACATGTAATTTATGTTCTCTGCATTTTTCTTTCTCTCCTCTAGACTTGTGTCTACATATAATTATGTATGTTTGTTGGTAAAATGTGCCTGAGAACATGTTTTGCTGTTTCATCACTAACATTCCTCTTCACTATCTGCTGTGATGCAGCAGCAAGGCCTCCAGTCGGCCACCGATTTTTGTATTCTCAAGTTTTAACCTTCTTGCTTTTTGACATCTTTTTCTTTTACAGTCTAAGCTTTGGCCCACAGTAAACACTTGAATCAATCTCTCTCTCGCTCTTGTTTTCTTTCTTGTCTTGCAGGATTCTGCCAGTCTAAAAGTGCCATCCTCTAGCACTCCTACTGAGCTGATGGAAATGGCTTTGAGGAAGTGGCTGACCACCCACAGGCCTGAGGAGGAGGCATGGAAGGGTCAGTATATGCTGAGGGTCAGCCACTGCCTGGACTTCCTGTGTGGAAACCATCCCCTGATTCAGTACAAGGTCAGTGGCGACACATTGGACTTTCTCAAGTGTCTACCGGTGGTTGACGGACTTTATTTCTCACCTATGTGTGTCAGCGTTGTGTCCAGACCCAGATCCAGTACAGACAGAGTCCTCTTTAGACACACTGGCCTTCATTTGTGTTGTCTATTACTACCTACAGGAGCAAACTGTAGTGTTTAGTGTGACAATACCATCCCTGAGCCCGTTGTATGATTCCAGGAAGCGATGGTGGCGGTCAAAGCAGGAAAAGTTTAAGTGCTAAACAACATTAACAGGCTTCATACAGGTGATGCCTCAGCAGTAATATTTTAATACAGGTGCAGATGGGGGATCATACATTTAAAATATGCCTGTTTATGCAGAACATGTTTCAACGCTTTCATAGAAGCTTCAGGCTCACTGCTGTCCAACAGATACCGTGGAATTTTTGGATTTTTATGATAATATAAATTCCCTAGGCTAGTCGTCAGTCCGGCTGTATAAACACTGTTGTGTAGAGACTAAGACGAGCTAGTTCTGAATGTTAGCTGGCTCCGTTTTGATGTGCTTTTTAAACATGACATTGAGCTCTGCATAATGCCAAGATGCAGCTTTGTATGTTCATTTGAAATTGTACATGTATTTATTTTATTATGGCTTCTCTTAAACTGGTTCATGCACTTGGTTTGTCAAGTCTTTTTTCTGCACTGTGAACAGCTTGAATATGCACATAGCTATAACCTAATCCTGTCCCGTCTTGTGCGCAGTACATCCGCACATGCCTGCAAGCCAAGGATCCTCCCCGTCTCACCCTGGTCCACACGAGCACCGTGAAGGCCATGTTTGAGAAGGAAATCTGTGCCATCGGGGCTGTGGTTAGCCGCAAGTCCTCCAACCCGCCTTTACCACTACCTCCCAAGAGAAGGGTTCCGACGGTAGGTCCAGCATCATGGCTGCATGAACGAGTGTGCTGCTCACCTCCATGCTGTGGTGGCTTTGCGGGTTCAACTTCTGCTGCTGTTTTCAAAGGAATAGTGCTATGCTAACGGCTACTTATGCAGATTATTGGATTGTTTTTGATCTTTAGTGACTGAAATGAAACCACATTTTCCTTATTGCTAACGTGAAACTTGTGCTCACATATTTGATTTATTTGACATGACCTGTAATAAACTGAGCTTCTTGTTGTGTACACTAGATTCTGGTCACCGCCAGTGTTTACTGAGCACTGTTCTTGTTGCATCACAACAGCAAACCTCCACAGTTTGATTGATTCACCTGCACAGCACAATGCAGGTGTGGAGGTTTACCAAGTAAACATGTACCTGGCAGCTGCCACCTGTCTTTTATGAGTGTGTTGGATCAAGCCCACGGTGCCCTGCCAGCATTTGCCACGTTGTCAGAAAACACCGGCCGTTTCTGTTTCTGCTTCCAGGGGCACGGTGACATTACTGCTCGATGTGTGCATCCGCATTTTAAATGTCACGCTGAGTTTAATTGGCCTCCGTTAGGAGCCTCCCGGGGTTTTAATTGCGTGACGCTTTGCAGCGTTTTGATTCCCTGGTGCGGTGTACGGTTTGGAGAGTTGATAAATATTACAGGTGTGTGTCATCATATGTCATATTTATCACTGTGTGTTGGAACAGTTGCTTCATATCTTGTTCTTACAGTTCCTACTTTTATGAATGAACACCTCTGTTGCTTTATAGTAAATGGAGCCACCCCTTCCAAAGATCTTTGTAGTTTCTTGACTCTTGTTATTGAGGGAGCATCTATTGAGTCGTCAAAGTGTCACATTCACTGTGTCGTGCTTTGTGATTAATTCAGTCCTGTAAATGTATTCAGATGTGGAGGTGAGGGTGACGAGCAAAGGGGAATTTCACCAAAGATCACTTCACAAAGGCTGAGAAAACACTTTCCTTTCCAGTGATGTGCGACTGAGATTAAGATAGTTGGTTGATCAGGATTTTCACAACTGATTTTAAGCTGCTTTCCATTTCTATTTTTCTTCTGTTGATAAATTTGCCAAACTGTTATCAAACTCGTTGCCAGTTAATCATCTTTTGATCGACTAATCCGTTAATGACTCGTCGTGTCAGCACTGAACTCGCTTCGCTTTCCCTTTCTGTAACCCCTCTTGCTCAATCTCGCTTTGCTCAACACAGAAATATTTAAGACTACGCCTTTTTCTCGTCACATCACCGAGAAACTGCTGTTCTTACCTTCAGCACCCTCTGACTAGGGGTCGGCGGATTATCGGCCCGGTCAGTCAGATCCAGCATAAACTGGAATTATGAAACAACATTATGCTGTTTGTGTTGTCCCTTTAGTGACTCCCTACTGCTGATTTCTTTAAATGTCATGATAGAACTTGCTCTGCATTGAATCTCCAACCTTCTGCTTTTAAGATCCTCTGATGGTTTTGTCCAAAATCTATGTTTAGACACAGATAAATGAGCCACAGCTGCTAGAATTCAGAGGCGCTATGAATAACCTGACAGGACCAGGGTAGTAGATGTGGGGTTTCTTCTTCTAAATCTGTCATTTTAAAGCAGCTTTTCCACAATTTGTTGATTTGGCGGTTGGTATGATTTTGTATTGATCTGTCATTTTGTTGAACACTTTTGACTGCGTTTTTAAAGAATGGTGCAGAAACAGATGCTGGCCAGACTCTAGTAATCTTGCTGTGGCCATGTGGCAGGAAGTAGGATTTATTTTCATGAAAGGAAACTGTTTTTGGACGCTCTGCTGCTGTGTGCAAGAAACCTGACTGATAATTGGTGAAAACAAAGGAGGAGGAGAGAACAGAGGGACTGTGGGGCTTTTTTTTTGTTTCTGCCTGCACACGAAATATAGTCCCTCGTCCGATAAGGGACAATAAATTACATGTGCTACACGCTCACATGAGCATTTAAACACTCTGAGGCAAACATCCACACACACAAAGGGAGAGGCAGCAAACAGCAGGAAGTGAGCTAGTTAGTCATGTTCATAGTTTCTAGGTGTCATGTGATGCTGTTTGTTTTGCTGACTGCTGACCCTCGCAAATCCACTTGGCTTGACATCACAGTGACCCGAGTGACCTCCCGTATTGTTTGTGTGTGCGCACGCAGGGATACTGGTGGGCGTGAAGAAGCAGCAGCAGCAGCGTTTTCGAGGACATAATTTCACACTGCATTATGCTCATAGCGGTGTTTCTTTCTCCTCTCACTTTTCCTCTGCAGCAAGTACAGACGTGTGTGTGGGACGTGTCGAGCCCATTTAAGATAGTCCTTGTGAAAGGCAGCAAGGTGAATGCAGAGGAGACTGCCAAGGTAAACTCTTGCTTTGTTCACGTCTATAAAACGGTAATTTATGCATACATTAAACCTGTAAACACAGTTGTGCCATGTCCTCCTCCACACACTTTCTCACGCCAGCAAAAATACTGACCTGGATGTTGGGATGTTTTTGTTTTTTTTGAATGCACAAAGTGGGTTAATTTCTGGGAACCTAAACATGTTTCTCAATAAAATTTGTAAATGTCTGTCAAATTTAACACAAGATGCACTTAAACTTCTCCTACCGCCACAGGTCCAGGTGAGGGCGGGGCTTTTCCATGGCACTGAGCTGCTGTGCAAGCCGGCGGTGAGCAGCGAGAGCAGCGGGCGCTCGGACCACACGTGGAAAGACAGCACGCTGGAGTTCGACATCTCCGTCTGTGATCTGCCACGCATGACCCGCCTCTGCATTGCCATCTACGCCGTCATGGACAAGGTGAAGAAGCAGAAGTCCACCAAAAACGCTCACATAAACAAGTACCAGACCATCCGCAAGGCAGGGAAAGTGGTAAGTGGGAGCTCAATATAGCAACTTTATATCTACAGACATTTACAGAATCCTTTTGTCGTGTCGTTTCCTAATAAATAACTGTGTGGCGCAGCACTACCCCATAGCCTGGGTCAACACCATGGTGTTTGACTACAAGGGGCAGCTGAAGACCGGAGACATCATCCTGCACTGCTGGTCTTCGTTTCCTGGTACACACAATCACACTAATACTTCCTGTGTATTTAATAATTAAACTAGGGTTAAATGAGCTTCTGCAGCGGCTGCCCAGCGTACGACAAATCTGTGTCAATCAAGTGTGTGTATTCGTGTGTGTTTTACCCAGATGAACTTGAAGAGATGCTGAACCCCATTGGAACCATTCAGACCAACCCGTACACTGAGAACGCTACAGAACTGCACATCCACTTCCCAGAATACTCGTCGCACGCCATCGTATTCCCTCCTTTTGACAAGGTCAGACAGCAGCTCGTCTCTGCACCCTGTTAGAAACAGACCCTCTGCCTCTGTGGACATGACAGTCAGGAGCAAATTACTCCTGCATTCGTGTGCACATGTCAAGGCTGCCATGATTTTCCCATCCTCAGACTTGGCTTAACAAACTCGATGCAACCAGCGTGGCCTTTTTCTAAAGACACGACCTGCAGTTGAGTTTGTCATCCCAGTGGCTTAGTGCTCTTCATAATGGTACCTAGTGATTATGATGAAGTGCTGGCTGTTAGCATGAGAGGATCAGGACGTGCTCTGTCTGCTTAATGCACTCACTCGCTTACTTTTTCTTTTTTTTTTTTTTTTGTTTTGCAGATACTGGAAAAAGCTGCAGAGATCGCCAAAGCCAGTGACTGTGCACCCATCGTGAGTTCATGTACAACGGCAGACAAACGATTGTTGAGAACACACATAAGAACAAACCAGCTGAAAATAAAGCTGCATAATTCTGCATCGTCTCTCGCTGCCTCTCACTCGCTCTCCCAACAGACACGCACCATAAATATAACCTCTCAAACAGGCGCCCATTGCTAGTTTCCTTGGAAACCCATTGTTATCACTTTGGCAGGGCGTAGCAGCAGAAATATTCAAATCTCCTTTAAAACTGCAAAACTAAGAGAGACTAATCAGATTACTGGTACGTTTTCCTGTCTCACCGCCCCTCAACTAAGAACCCACTCCTGGGTGTGTTACAGCCAGTTACGTAATCCTGTGTTATGTGGAGGGCATGCCTGAACGCAGCCCTTTTAATATGAGGTGCATGTCGGTGAAGCGACGGATTATCGCTGACTAAAAGTTGGTGTTTATTTTTTACCCCGTGCATTAGAGCACAGCTCCATCAGCTGCTGTCATTTTTTATTCATAACGTTACATGTACACATTACACATTACAGCCTTTGTCTCTTTAAATCATGAGACTGCAAAAACAAGTTGTTTTTAACAGACAAGTCAATAATAGTCCTTGGTCTTTGGTTTACATTCAAGGCAGATGGTGAGAAACTACTTACTTGTACTTTGATGCACTCCTGCCCTCTTGTGGTTCATCGCTGTCACTGCTCATCCTTGTTTCCTTTGACATTTATCTTGATCCCCTCTCCCCCAAACCGACCAACCTCTCTTCCTTCCTCGCCGTTTCTCTCAGGGCCGCGGCGGTAAGAAGTTCCACATCGAGCTGAAGGAGATCATGGAGCGCGACCCGCTCTCTCAGCTGTGTGAGAACGAGAAGGATTTGATCTGGACACTACGCTACGACTGTCGGGAGAACTTCCCTCAGTCGCTGCCCAAGCTGCTGCTCTCCGTCAAGTGGAGCAAACACGAGGACATGGCCCAGGTTGGTCCATGTGTGCACCGATACGAGTTAAAAAACAGGCTGGGTTGATCATTTTGAGGACATTTCTTGTGTGATTGATGATTAAAGTTCTCCTCTGTGTCATTCTTTGAGCTTTAAGTTTGTAATATTATTGATTTGATCCTTAAAAACTCATCTTGATGTATCAGAGTTGGGGTTTTTTTTCCATAAACAAAAAAAAACGTCCCTTCCTGCCTCGTAATGACTTGGATGACTGCTCTGGAGTGCAGTGCAGGTCGTCCCTGTTTCTCTCTCCAGCCACTGCAGCTCTAGCTCACCAGCTCACCTACGACTCAAACACGCACAACTGCTTAGTTCTCAGCTATCATTTACTTCTATTGTATGAAAAAAAAAAAAACAACAACAAATGGACATGTTAATAAGAAAAGGCAGGTCGTGGTTTTCACCAGAGAGGTTCTTTAAATTCACTGAATCCTAAAAGAAGTTCATCATTTATATCGTCTCACCACGAATACCATGTCTTCCTACTTATTAAATCTTAAAAAAAAAAACTCATACAAACTAAATACTCACATATATTGCACACAACATAATCTTATTGTAAATCCCATGTGGTGCTGGCTCACTATTTACTAGTTTCAGCTGCACAAGTGATGTTTTCTAATATTTGGTGTTTTGGCCAAAAGGCTGATCGCTGTTGTTTTGTTCAATATCAAAATAGTTGAAATGCATTCATCTTTAACACTAGAAGAGGTTGTTATTGCATTTAAATATCCTACATTTAAAGAAAACTAACCGCACTGACAGACTTTATAAAATCAGCCTTCATTTTGTGTAGAAGCCAATTTCTTTTCCTGGAATCAGCATCAATAACAGTAACTTATGGTCGGACCGCCTGCAGCTCTGTTTGACAGTCAGACACACACAGCATCAGTTCGACCCCCAAGATAACATAAGTTTGTGTTTGTGACCCCCACAATGTGAATTTTTAATATGGCATGAGTAATAACTTGTTCGTGCATGAATGCGTTAAAAATAAATGTGTTTATTCCACGGATTAATCTCTTTACATTAACATTAAATGAATGAATGAATTTAATTTATTTCGAACAAATGAAAGGAGGAAAAAAAATATAAAAACAAAAGAAAATAATTTAAAAAGAATAATAATATGGCATAATCCAACCACAACATTAACAAGTTCAAAAAAGGAGTGGAAAGAAGTATACGCTTTTAATTTTATTTGGTAAATGTAAGCTTTATTTTTATTTTTTTCAATGATCTGGCGACCCTCTGAAATGATCCCTGGACCCCCATTTTGAAAACCACTGAGTTAGAGCATTAAACCAAGACCTGCGACAGCTTTAGTGGATCAGTGCAGCAGCATTAATACATGTAAGGCGTTAGTTTCACACCCAATCAGCTTTCATTTGTTTACAGAAAAGACAATCACAGTTATTATCTTTATTACTGCGTCTCCGTGTTCCAGGGGTAATCATTCATATTTTATTCACAGTGATACACAAGGCCTCCATAAAACTGACTAAATGTTTGTATCAGCTTCTAAAACGTTGTATGTCTCCCTCAGCTCCAAGCGTTGCTTCAAATTTGGCCTAAGCTGAGTCCCAGAGATGCTCTGGAGCTGCTGGACTTCAACTACCCCGACCAGTACGTCAGAGAGTACGCTGTCTGCTGCCTGCGTGATATGAGGTAAATGCATGAATCAGCCCACGTAATTTAATCAGCCACAGTGCACTTCGTCTCAGTCCTCAACAGTCATGTGATCATCCACAGACCTTCACTACAAATGTCTCCTCCGTGTTCACCAAGAGACGCTCAGTCTGTTTTAAATGTCAGTAGAGATGATACGTGTGTAAACTACAGGCTGAAAACAACCTTTCAGGAAGTGTTCTCTCATACTTGTCTCTGTTCCTGTTTTCTCTCTCCAGCGATGAGGAACTGTCGCAGTACCTGCTACAGTTGGTGCAGGTGTTGCGTTACGAGCCCTACTACGACTGCGCCCTGACCCACTTCCTGCTTGAGCGCGCTCAAGGGAACCGCAAAATCGGACACTTCCTCTTCTGGCATCTACGGTGCGAACGGACATTTCAGAGTGTACACATGAACATGTGCACCTGATCTGTTACACATTCACAAGAAAGGGGGAGAGACGAACAGCTTGTTATTAAAAAGTGAAACCTTTGAGGGGTCTGATTTTGTCCGTGCCGCCTCTCTGCTGCCCTCTACAGGTCAGAGATCCACATGCCTGCGGTTTCAGTCCAGTTTGCCCTCATCCTGGAGGCCTATTGTCGAGGCAGCATCCCTCATATTGAGGTTCTGAAGAAACAGGCAAGCCACACACTCTCTGTTTTATTTGTTATCGTGAATGTAATCTCACAATCAGCTGGCTTCCCTTTTGTGTCATTTGACAAAACTCCATGTAAACCTTTGAGCAAATTGAAAACTGGTCTGAGAGTAAAATAGACTTCCACGTCTCCTCTTGGTCTCATTTTCTGGTTTTTAGAAAATGTAACCCTTGACAGGAGACTTCCACCTGCCATAAGTCTGACTGCAGCTTTAATAAAACAATAAATCTTTCTATCTTGGAAGTTGTGCAGAACTCGTCCCCACTCCAAAGCCAGAGCAGCGTCGTTTTAACCCTTTCAACACGACGTAGCTTTGCTTGAAATTCATGATCAGATATGGTTTTGATTAATCACTCATAAATTCTTAACTAGACTTCACGTCATTACACATCTGGTATCGATCAAAAGTAGACGTTTGACGGTTAAATATATCTGGAAGTTTACTCTTGTCATTTACATACAGGTGTGAAAAAGAAAAGGTACACTTCATCATTACCAGGGATATTTGCAATTAATAATCAGTTCTTATATACTGAGACATCAGCCAAAGTCTTGTTAGTTTTGATTGCTTAAAAACATTTCATAAATGAGGCAGCGAAAATCCAGTTTTCTGGTGATTTTGGGGGTCAAACGACGTCATTTTACTTCATTTGCATAATTTATTTCATGACTGAATGAATCGCTTGTTCACATTCCCACTGATAGCCGATCAAAATGAAGCAGAAAGTCACCACATACCTGAGCCGCTGTGCCGGGCTGCAGGGTTGAACGGGAGTCGTAATGCCGGCCCGGTACAGCGGGCTGTCGTGTCCAAAGGGTTAAAAAGCATTTAATTCAGCTTCGTTTTTTGTTTAAACCTTAAATTTGAAAATCTTAAATTCTCCTGCTGTCGGGAGGAATGTTAGCTGAAATTATTTCTGGATTAAATTAATTAATAGTTTTAATTATTTAATACATCCATCATTTTTTTTCAGTTTTATGTGGATCCAGCTCGCACAACTTAATGTTTAATCAAACGTAATTAGAATTAAATCTCCCACTGTAACACCTACAGAATAATCCCAGTCCGTTGTTATCCCTGAGAAGACTTTTGGTATTTTTGGCCCATCACAGCGACGGCCGTGTCTCCCATCCTGCCCTCAACCTTTACCCCCAGCAGGGCTGGTTTTGACAGTCGAACGCTTCCTGCTACTTTCTCATCATCAATCTGGTCGCTTTCCTGTTTTGCAGAATAGAAACGAGCTGGAATCATAACGCTGACACTGTCTGTTTCAGGCATGAAGAGTTAATTTGCTGGTTTCAGTCAAACAAATTGTAAAATGTTGCTGCAGCATTTTATTCTGTTAAATGGACTTTCTCTTGACTCCACCAGGTGGAAGCCCTGAGTAAGCTAAAGTCAGTCAATGAGCTAATTAAGCTGGGAACCATTAAGAACGCTCGGAGTAAAACCAAGGAGGCCATGTTGACCAAGGAGGCCATGATGACGTGTCTACGGCAGAGCGGCTACTCGGAGACGCTGTCGGACCTGCACTCCCCTCTGAATCCTAACGTCCTGTTGTCTGGCATCAAGTAAGGAAAGATTCACACGAATGAGAATCTCTGTTCTTGCAGGACAGTGCTAGATCCAGGTTTCATGTTCTGTGTAACCTTTCCTTCTCCTCGCAGCGTGGAGAAGTGTCGGTACATGGACTCTAAGATGAAGCCACTCTGGATAGTTTACAACAACAAGCTGCTGGGCGGAGACACCCTGGGAATCATCTTCAAGAACGGAGACGGTAGGAATCAGAGGAGGAGGGAAGGAGGATGTGAAGCAGACGAGTCATTCTCTGTCTTCTTAGTGAATAATTTCCCTTTTTTGTTTTTGTTTTTTTTCCGTCTTCGCTCTCTTTCATTTCCTAGACCTAAGGCAGGACATGCTGACCCTCCAGATTTTGAGGCTGATGGATCTCCTGTGGAAGGAGGCCAATCTGGACCTCAGGTGAGCATTTTGCTGCACGAGAGTCCACGCAAGGTTAACGGACAGTCTTTGTCAGGCTTGTTTGTTCCTGCTCTCTGTGGGGAAGGGGAAGCTCTGCTGGGGTGAAGCAGAGGAGGGGAGGCACTTAATTACCCCATGCTAGCTTGACCTCCAACCCTTTTACACATTAGGCGTTCATACACACTCCCTCTGACACACACACACACACACACACACACACACACAGATACAATATCTGCATTACAAGTTAATCACTTCCACACTTTTCGCACTTTCACAAACCCTCTCTCTGCCTTCATCGAACGCTGGCACATCTGGAGCCGAGCAGCGGAGGGCCTTGTTTTGACAGTTGAGCTTGCGGACGGTGCTTCAGATTACAGCGACGCGGGTTCAGAGTTCGAACGCGGCGACGTGACACGAGGAACAAAAGCAGCGACAACGTAATGAATCCGCTACGATGTGGTGTGTTTTACCGCATGTCATCCTCCTCGTCAGCTCGCTGTTTTCCTCAATGAGTTAAACTCAACACCCGTTAAGTCGAGTAAGAAGTGCCTTGGAGGCATTTGGTTCCCATTAGACTGCAAATGAAATCTAGAAAGGGAGTGTGCTGTGAGCGTTGGGTCATGGCTGTCAGATGTGTCGGACTTTGGAGGCACCATGTCAGTAAGTTATAACAGAGAACTGGGTCTCTGCATCCAACAAATACTGACCTGCTGCAAGCTTGTAGGAGGAAAAAGGTGAAATAACTGAAGAGGAGAATTTACCGTCTTGTTGCAGACATCACTTTATCACCACATGTTCTTGATCCTGGTGTCCCCCCATATGTTCTGTCTCTCCTCTCTGAGAACACCATGTTTATATGATCTGACAGTGAATTGCAGCCAGGGAGCTTTATGACTGCTGAATGCCTTAATCTTGTAAGTACATGACGGTGGAACCGGATCCACAGAGTTGCACACAAAGCTACGTATACAAAAACTGGTGAAGTGACTTCAAACTGTTTAGCATTAGCTGGTGCAGATTTTTCAATATTTTTTCAGTCATGTTTCTGAGGTGCTACAAGGTGGCACAGTTGGTTAGCACCTCACAGCTAGAAGGTCGCCGGTTCACGTCCCGGTGAGGACACCCGGGATCTTCCTGCGTGGAGTCTCCATGTTCCCCCCATGCAGCGTGGGTTCTCTCCGGGTTCTCCGGCTTCCTCCCACAGTCCAGAAACATGCTGAGGTTAATTGGTGATTGTAAATTGTCCGTAGGTGTGAATGTGAGTGTGCTTGGTTGTCTGTCTCTAAGTGTAGCCCTGTGATAGACTGGTTACCTGTCCAGGTGAACCTGCCTTCACCCTGAGTCAGCTGGGATAGACTCCAGCCCCCCATGACCCTAGTGAGGATTAAACAGTGTATAGATGATGGATGGATGTTTCTGAGGTAAACATTCTGAACCCCAAGACCTGCCAGCAAGAATATGGTATAAAGAGGAGAAAGTTGTCAGCAAGTTTTGGAGTGTCATGAAATATCTTTCTAGGGTTGTGAAAATTCTATTTTGTAGAGGTATAAAAATGTAAAAAGTTGAATATTTACAGCAAGTGGAGCCCCCTTTTTTTTATTTTTTCCAATGTTGCTACCACCTGTGGGCACCTGGGGAAAAGTTGTACGTTGATTCCATTTTTTATTTAATTTTTAAAATATTTGTAAAATAATCAAATAAATTAAACTTTACTTTTTTATGTCTTTTTTTACGGCATTATAAGTAGGCGTACTGCACAAGACATTTTTCTAGTTTCTTCAACTTCTAGTCGTGGTTTGGTGCAAGACTTGTTGTTGTTAAAAAAAACAGGAGGAAGAGGAAACGACAGGGAAACGCCCAGAAACTGCTGGATGTTCATTAAAATGTGATGGGGAAAAAAAAAATCACTACAGCTGACTCTTACTAAAGTGTGCATACAGAGCGGTCCGTGTGTAAACAGAACCAGGAAAGCAGATTTCTAGGAATGACATTTTACAACGTATTGACTGTAAAGTGGACGTTCTCCTCAGAAAATGTGTCAGAAGTTACAAAAAAAAGACTTAATGACCAGTGAGTTCAACGTGCATTAACGTCCGCTTAGATGTTCTTCAGCTCTTCTAAACAGGATGTGGTTATGATGTTCCAGCTGACACGCTTTTCTTCTCTTTCACCTGCAGGATTGTGCCTTATGGTTGCCTAGCAACAGGCGACCGGGCAGGGCTGATCGAAGTGGTCTCGTCAGCAGACACGATCGCGAACATCCAGCTGACCAGCAGCAACGTCGCAGCAGCAGCAGCGTTCAACAAGGACGCGCTGCTCAACTGGCTCAAAGAGAGAAACTCGGGGTAAGACGGCGTTCTGGGATTCAACGAGCCTCTTCAGAGAACCAGTCGTCTTAGTGGTTTGCTGAGGAGAGGTGTGTGTGCAGCACACAGTAGGTTAACATGTATGTTGTGTGTTCACAGCGATGCTCTTGATCGGGCCATCGAGGAGTTCACTCTGTCATGTGCAGGCTACTGTGTAGCCACTTACGTCCTGGGCATCGGAGACCGCCACAGCGACAACATCATGGTCCGCAGCACGGGGCAGGTTGGACAAACGTCTTATATGTGGAGATGTTCCTTCTTTTTTTCCCCAGTTTGTTTCAGCGTAGCTCACCGACTGGTCCTGCTATCTTTCAGCTCTTTCACATAGACTTTGGACACATCCTGGGCAACTTCAAGTCCAAGTTTGGCATCAAGAGGGAGCGTGTGCCGTTCATCCTCACACACGACTTCATCCACGTCATACAGCAGGGCAAGACCGGATACACAGAGAAGTTTGGCAGGTTTGTTCTCACCTTGTTTCTCTTTTATCTGCAGCCTCAGCCTCTATGCACCCTCCTGGAATCTAATCATTTGGATTTATAGAGTATTTAAAATCTGACTGCATTGTTTGTGCTGCTATTATTAGGCCTGACGTTCATATTACTATTGAACACTGTGATCAGATTGATGCAGACATAACAACCAATCAGAATAAAAAAAATGTATAAAGGGACATAAGTGCTGTCAGTCTTTCGTATTGAGATGAGCGTCGGTGGGTTCGGCCCATTACGCAGAAACAACGTGAGCTCAAATGTTTAACCTGGCTACATACATAAACCAAGCTAGAACCAAACTGTTGTCCCTGTCATAGAAAAGTAAAAGATGGCTCGTGACAGAACATCCAATTCAAAATGTTTTCTTTCTTTCTTTTTTTTTACTTTTTGATGAAAGAGCAGATGAGCTGTAGAATAAAGGGGAGTAAATATCAAGTGATGATTTGGTTGTCAGAGGACAGAAGGGGCACAAGAGGCTTTAGTAAAGCACATGGACAGGGTCACAGCTGGGGTAAGACTAGTGCAGTTCCCTCTTTATCCAGCAGATGGCAGTAGACACTCAGGTAATGAACAGGAGCATGGAAAGCTCATAAATACAAACCTAATGGCATGCAAGCAGCGTACTCAGAGCAATGACCTTTTTTGTTAAGTTTAAAGAATACAAATCTAAAACATTAACCCCGTTGTGTCTGAAGATTAAACCCGTTGCCACCAGTCTTCTCGGTTGTCATAAAAATTCTTCTGAAACGCTCGGCTGCTGAGCTGATAAATGCTCGAAGCCCAGATAAGTGTTCTGCCTTAAAGTAAAACGTGCTCGGTTGTAGTCAAGCCTCAGTTTATTCAGAAGTTTATTTATTTATTTTTTTTGTTGCTTTGCTGTGTGTAAATAGTGAAATTAAAAATCCGATGCATGATTTGATTTGATTGTTTCTGCTGCGTGTTAAACTTTTTTTTTTCCGGATAAAGATGACTAAGCACAGATTTCCGAGCATGAACCTCGAAAGTTGTGCTGAGATGTGCGTTTGTGCTGCATGTGTACGTGTGAAACATAAAGGCTGCATGAAGCAACGATACGTTGTTTATCAGGTAGAGATCTGTGATGGAACGAAAAGACCAATCATATTGTGAAAGTGGAAATACCCATGTGGTATCTGTGTTGTCTACATTCATAACTAAACCACAGGAGAGTGATCTTCTGAAGACGAGTTCTGAGAAAACATCAACACTTCATTCACTGATTCACTGAAGAAGCACAGCTCTAGTGTGACGTTATTAAATTGTTTTATGAGCACTGCTATGCTGAACTCGAGTGCTGGACACGGTAAAATATGACTGCAGGAGTTTCCCAAGTCATTGAGTGTTTGTTTGCACTGACTTTATGTACGGCTCTGTCTACTCGTGTCACATTTAAACCACCGAGTTGTCCACCAGCTAATCATCTCCGCCGGGTGTCTGAAGAGCAGCTGAGAGCTGTACATCCTCCCTGACATGAGCCTGAGCTGGAAAACAATCTTCTAGATCCTCCAACTTGTTTATGAGTAAGAGCAGAAGTGCACTGGTGGAGCACTGCTGCATCAGTAAATGTGGTACATGTGGGTTCAAAAAGTGGCACATGATGTCCCAGCTCAGACCGATGGCACGTACACAAATCGTTTCTTGACAGCGGATGCAGGCTGGTGGAAGCGTTTCCCCGCATCAGGTGCCTTCCTCTCAAAGAACTGAGTACTAAAGTAAATGTTTTCCTTTGACTAATGAGAGATTCAAGTATAAATCAGGAAACTGTGTGAAAGTCAATTAATTAAAACTGCTTTAACACATTTTCATTGCCGGAGATGTTGTGAATGTCGGTGCTGCTCATAAACACCCCCTTATCTGTTAACCAGCACTAACGAAGTGCAGCGAGCCGCCGGGTGGTTCACCACGGATGTACAAGTGTTTGTCACATCTTATGAACCATGTGTGGGCAACCTCATTTAGCTCAGTCACAGATCTGGGGAAAAACAAGGCGCAATAGCAAATGTTTGAACTTCTTCACCCGGCGCTGGTTTGGCCTACTTTACGTAGATGCCACTTACCAAAAAAAAAACAGTTGTTTGTTTACATCTCTGAAATCAGACGGCAGTTATAAAGTGTGAACACAACTGGACCTGCTTACCTTGATTTACTGAATTCAACTTTTCTTTTCATTCATGGCGGACCAGATGAAAACCAAAACCTTAAGCACCAGTTAAAATGTGAGCAGCAGATGTGAGCTGCTGTCATCAAAAAATAAATAAAAACATTTATGATGTTTACTTTCCATGAAGGAAATCCCTGCACGGGAACATCGTGACCATCAATACGAAGCCAAATAACTGCTGACGTTCTGCTGTTTGTCAGAAATAACCAACTGTTCACGTGTCTCTTGTTCCTGTAGTTTCCGTCAGTACTGTGAGGAGGCCTACCTGATCCTGAGGAAGAACGGCAACCTCTTCATCACGCTGTTTGCTCTCATGCTGACGGCCGGACTGCCAGAGCTCACCTCAGTCAAAGACATCCAGTACCTAAAGGTAGAGATGTAGGGGAGGAGAGGCACAAACTAAACAGCTCTGGTGAAAATTATGTCAGATTTGTAGGGTGTATAGGCGTGTGTTTTAGTGAAATGAAGACATTTGTTTTGTTATTTTTACACTGCTTTTTTATCATTTGGGGCATTTATCTGCAGTAAATGAAAACGGATCTAAATAACAAAAAAACAGAGAGATGGTGTTTTCATACCTCAAAAAACAAAGTTCATGATGTTCATGAACATACTGATGTTCAGAAATCAATGTTTAACTTCAGAATCCAAGCAGCTCAGCTTCGTCTGATGGTTTGTGACCATCCGTCTTCCTCTTGACTGCACTGAGAAGGTCTGCAGGTCTGGATGTTGGGCTGGATCCTAATCTGATGACCCTGCATTCACACCTCGATTAACTGGAGCATTGTCAGAGCAGAAGGAAGCAGGTTCTCCTCCCGTATAACTTTTTACATTGCTTGAGTCGTGCAGCGTTCAGAAGAGATGAAACTTGAACTCATGTGAGAAGATGACCTTCTGACGTCCTCTACAGTCTAACTCTGGCTCTTCTTGGCTTGTCATTGATGAGATATTTTCTCATCAGCCTGTTTTGGCTTGATACCGTCATCAAGCCACCTACAGTTTGAGTTTGTAGTCATCCCAGTAGATTTGTTTTTGTCCTCTTCCAGTCTGTAGCTGTGCCGTCCCTAATTTCCGATGCGTCACTTTGTTCTCGTGAACCCTGTCTTAGAAATTTTAAGAATGGATGCAACTAGATGTTCACTGTAAAGCTTTGCTGGTGAAGCGTCTTCTTCTCGTCACTCAAAACTTTTCTTTTCAGCTACTTTCCTTGGTTCTTTGCTGTAGCACTCGCACAGTTTTGACTTACAGCTGATGCTATTAGATAAGGATCATCATTAAATAAGATGTGACTCGGGCGGTTGCCTTATCAGTATCTTTGTTCATTTAGAATGACGTGTTGGAAGTCAGCAGACGCTGGAATGAAACGGAAGCCATGCATGTAGAGATGCTGATAAGACACAAAATAACTCAGACTTCATGTGAGTAAACATCAGCTCGACTTACTGTGGAAAGCAGTGGACAGTTTGTCAGCAGGACTTTGTAGATTCTCTAAAATATGACTTTAGGTTTGCTTAGCCTTATCCTTGATTGAAGAAAAGCCAAGCTGTAAGCCAACGTTGGAGATCTTGTGCCCTGGCCGGTTACAGTTCGTCACCATGTGAAGTCATCTGTGGAGGACTTGTCTGTCCCTCTTTGGTGTCAAATGTTGTTCTTTGGATACTGTCTATTATTTGTGCAGCCTTTATGAGCTCATTACGAGCCTGACTCACCGGATTAAGGCTGCGTGTACGAGCCTGCCATTGGCCGCTCCCTTCAGGCGGCTTTGTCCTTCCCGTCTGTGCGTTACTGTTTTCAAAAATCACTACGGAAAGCAACTTCATATGAGAGAACGATGGTGAGGTGCAGCCGGACCGTTGGGTTCTACAGAATAGCTGACAGCATGAGTGAAGCACATACCGTATTCTGGTGTTAAATGATGTCTTTCATACAGCCAATTTACTAAACTGTGGCTTTAAATAATGTGGACATAATAATCACACAAATGCATTATGGATCTGTAGCATGTTTTACAACCATCTCATCAACGTGGAGGTTGGGAGCTTAGGCACATTGCAAATGACTTCATTACTCTTATGTTTTAAATCCGTCTGTCATCAGCGTCCTCATCACTTCTCCATCCTCATGCCCTCACCACTAATCCTTCTCTTCTCCTCCCCCCCCTGCAGGATTCTCTGGCTCTGGGTAAAACGGACGAGGAGGCGCTGAAGCAGTTTCGCCAGAAGTTCGATGAAGCCCTCAGAGAGAGCTGGACGACCAAAGTCAACTGGATGGCCCACAATGTGGCCAAAGACAACCGCTCCTAGAGCAGCTGCCAGCCCTCTGGGACGGGGGGCCGAGAGGACACGGTGAGGGAATATGTGAGCGTGGGGGAGGGGAGATGTGCCACCCTGAGGTAAAGAAGGGAATCTAACAAAACATCCGGACCAGGAGCGGATTCTCCTCCCATGTGCTGTACATACAGAGCGACGCTGCTCTCTGCACCCGTACTTACTGCACCCCTCCTCGCCTCGCCTCACTCTGGCACGGTGCCTCCTGAACATCCAAATTCACGGTCTTGTGACATTTCTGTGGGCGACGTCATTGCAAGTTTTGCACAGGCACAAACAGCTGAAGGAGAGCCAAAGGAAGGGAAGTGAAGAGCCCACTCTGTCCACACTAAAGACGAACTGTCCACACGGAGCGGGCTGATCCACTGGAGTCACGTCTCGCGGACTTGAACGGACTCTGACGGGACGCGTATTCTGACGACACCCCCGGACTGTTTTCAGTAGAGCGGAGTCAAGCGGCGAACTGGAAGAGACAGAAACCCCCATGTCTTAAAGCGATGTGCACCTCAGGACGTGCATCTTAACACTCGCTGACTCAGTGTGCCTCCAAACTGCAGGAAGATTGTACCGTTTGAGGTTTCTTTTTCTTTTTGCCATTTAAGAATTTATCACGAGACCACGACGACGACGACGACGTGCCAGACTACTTCACTAGTCCACAAAGAAAAGGCGTGAGGGACATAATAAAGGACGCCGTGAGCCTTTTGGTCCACGGTTTGAATCTCAGTTCATTGGGGCCCTTGAACACTGGAATGTTTTTAGAGAGACGTCTCTGCGAAACTTTAAGTAGTCTTTTAATAAACTAAACACTTTATTTTAGTTTATTTTATTTGTAAACGGCAATGTGCAGTGTTTTTTTTTTTTTTCTCTTTAACACATTCAAATCAAAAGCATTATTGGACAAAGTGTTGTGCATTATCACTACCACTCGTCATCCTTTCGCCGTGAACCGTGACGACAGCTCACTGAGATTACTGATGCGTTTAACACGTTAGGACCAAAACACAAAGCAAGTGTGATTTTCTCGTCTATACGGTGTTTTTAATGATCTGTCTCCAAATTGAATGTGCAACCATGTGGCGCTCTCTTTTACGTGTATTTGTTTTTATACGAGCAGGTGCGGGCGGAGTCACCAACGCTACATCCTTGTTTCCACACACGGTCCTCGGCCAGCATCTGCGTCTGTTTGATTTTCGTGCAATATCCGAGTATATGAACCATATCTTATCAAACCTTGGGCCCTGGCCTCAGCCTGTGGTGGTTTCGTCTGCTGGTTTACGTGTGATGCAGCTGTACTTCGCACCACTAGCCTTCAGAAGTCTCAGACACTGGATATTGTCAAATGTACAGGCTTTTATTGTTTCGCTGGTTTTTGTTTTCATAGGAGTTTTATTAAAGTTATTTTCCACTGCGCTGCATTTCCGCCTGTAGTCTGTTTTTCCTTGTTCTGCTGTGGAGGTGGGCTGTGTGTCGGTGCACCCACTCAGGGCAGCGCCGTGGATTTTGTCTCTTGTTTTGAGAGCTGTGATGACTTTTTATTGATTTCAGAACAGAAATATACCCACTCGCATTTTGTGTTTGCAAGAGATTATGTGAAAGGAAAGCTTCATTGACAAGTGGAAGAATTTTCCATCTATGGTCACACATTCAAACACCAGTGAAACCAGCTGAGGTGTACAAAGTTAGAGCCCTGTTTTTCTGTGAAACTGTACAATGCAGCAGCTTACAGGATTAAATTGCACATGTACCAAGGCTAAGACAATGAAACCAGCCTGGAAGATCTGAGATGACCTCTGATTTCAGCGTCACAGATGCTTTCTTCATTGTCCAGTTTATCAGATCACCGTGGTTCAGTCAGAAGATGACCACAACACTTCACAGCAGGCTTTATCAGTGTCTGAGCGAGAGCCCTGACACACTTATGAGGACATGAAACAGACTCACCAGGCGCTAGAGAAGCTTCAGTCTGCTCCACCGTCGCTCACCAAGCAACCAGAGCGTCTGCATGGAGTCACGTCAGGACTTAGCTGCTCCCTGAACGGAAAACGTTGGGAGGCAAAACAAGTTATCACATGAGCCTCGTCTCGTAGTCACGTAGAAGTGCTGCAAGGTGGCTCGGTGGTTAGCACCTCACAGCTAGAAGATCTACACCCGGGATCTTTCTGCGTGGAGTCTCCATGTTCTCCCCGTGCAGCGTGGGTTCTCTCCGGGTTCTCCGGCTTCCTCCCATAGTCCAGAAACATGTTGAGGTTAATTGGTGATTCTAAATTGTACGTAGGTGTGAATGTGAGTGTGCTTGGTTGTCTGTCTCTAAGTGTAGCCCTGTGATAGACTGGTTACCTGTCCAGGTGAACCTGCCTTCACCCTGCTGAGATAGACTCCAGCCCCCCACGACCCTAGTGAGGATTAAGGTGTAGAGATAATGGATGGATGGATGTCAAGGAGTCAACCCAGTCTGTATTGTTCAGCTTTCTCCGTCTTTTAATTTCCAGCAGACTGGACGTAGGAGCATTTCTTCCTCCTGCTGATCTAAAAACAACACATTTCAGACTGACGTACTTGCAGCTGTCCATATGTGATCGGATCTCCAAAGACTCGTCGTAATGCCAGGTGTGAACTCAGGTTTTCATGTTGTGCCTGATTAATATAAAGATGTACATTACTCAGATTACATGCAAGTTATCTTTTACTGTCACTGACAATGAGCTGTTAGACGGTGTTATTTTATTTGTTAGATTTTTTGGATTTATCGTAGCGGAGGACAGGACATGACCCCGAAACTGTCGCTGCTAAACAGAAAGCCGCCATCATTTGTTATTTCTGCAGGAGCTTTTCTGACCGAGTGGTGTCAGAATGTCCTTTGTGGGGGAAAAAAAAATAAATCTTGTTTCACTGAATGCCTTGATGTAAAATTGCACCCTTGACAATACGGTACACAGTCGCTTCTCCTCACCCACACACGGTGAGTAAATAATTTGGTCAATTTAGTTTAACTGCAGCCTCGATGTGTGTTTCCCCACTTACACATTTATCAGCATCACTTCTGTTGTCCCGTCTCTACACTGGAATTACAGGGGATTGAGGGGATCTTTGTAAACACCACCCTGCTCCTCATTAAGCTCCTTCGTGCGTTCGCTCTTTTTCATCTAAATTGCACAAAAATGCCTTTTGTTGCTTGTTGCATGACAAAGGAAATGAATTTCCTTTCACTCCGTGGGGAATGTTAACCAAGTCTTAACCTTCTGCAGTCATCATTTATTGATTCTCTGTCACTCAAGGCTACAATCATTGCTCAGTGTGAATCATCCGCCGTGTGTTGTTGTTGTTGGAGTTACATAATACAGTAACCTGGTAGAAGGGCTGCTCATGGGGAGTGGGGACACAGTGGCAGATATCCTGTATGCAGGGTGTAAACATGACATATAATATCGAGTGAAAATAAGACAATGTACTAAGATATGCATGTACAATCACATCAGGAAGCATCCAGACCGCTTCACCTTTTGCATGTTAAAGCCAAAAATTTAAATCCATCACTCACAGAGGCAGTCTGACCAGTAAGTCGGTACATTACAGGCCTCCAGTAAATATGCTTTCTGTATTGGTGCAGTTTATCCCATTCTTGCATCAAGATCCTCTCAAGTTCTATCAGATTGGATGGAAACTGTGCTTCTATGGGAGTTTCTAGGAGGTTTCAAGCCTTGAATTTACTCCCTTACAGGTGTGTAGTTCAGCCGTTACTATTCTACTGCTTTACAGCCTAAAGATCTACTGACCGGCAAGTTGTCAGAAGGCGCTTGACCTCGAGGTCGCCCAAGGCTCCACTTCAAAGACACTGGTCCTGGAAGACCACTGCAAAGTCAAGAGATTCCTGGAAAGCTGCTGCTGTGAGCGGTACAAAACAAGCCGACATGTCACGCCGTGCCCATCTAAGGCGAAAGAGGGAAACACGTAAGTCTTCCCAACAACATCGACAAGCCTCCGTACACATCTGTTCTTCATGCCAAAAAGACTGCCGCTCCTGCACTGGCTTGTTTAGCCACGACAAGAAGTGTGCGAGTGACTGAACATGGTGCATCTCATCTTCTCACGAGACGGAAAGAGGCCGCCGCCGGAGTTCGCTGTGAGGTGTTTATCACATACTTGTACAGTAGGTCTACAGGTACTGCTCGTGTGCACTCCTGCACTGGTAAAACAGCTGCCATGCACACAGAAATGTTCATGTGGAGTAGTCTGCGTGGACCTTTGCTTTACTGGCAGCTGCAGAAAGCATATTACTGGACTAATTGCCCTGAAGTCATTCCAGTTATAGACTTGGCTGTACGCTCTGCATCATCGTCATGGTGACAAAGAGCTGAACTGCTAACCCAGTCTCTCTCTCATGCATGCTGCAGTAGTCGTAGGACCTCGTAGGATAGGGTTAGGACCTTGTAGGACCGTGTGTTTGGCAGCATTCATTCTTCCCCCAGTTCTGACCAGGGAAGCTGCTCCACATAGCATGATGCTGCTGCCACCATGCTTTCATATAAGGGTGGCAATAACAGGACATAGTGCTTGGAGTTCTGCTCAGAGAGTTCCAGTTTTGTTTCATCAGACCAGAGAGTGCTGCTAAGATGGTCGTGCTGAAGTTCTGTCAGTGTGACCGTTGGGTTTTCAGTCATCTCCCTAACTAAGAACTTACTCGCTCATTCGCTCAGTTTGGTGGTGAACTGTACAAAGAGTCCAAACTTCCGGTATTCCACAATTATTGAGGAGAACTGTGCTCCTGGTAACATTAGATCTACTCCTCACAGCCGTTGTGAGGAGATTTACAGAGAGTTATTTGATTTTGTGGCTTAGATTTTCTACTCACAAGCACTGTAAAGGGCTGCAAGGTGGCGCAGTTGGTAGCACTGTTGCCTCGCAGCAAGAAGGTTGCCGGTTTGCATCGGAATCTTTCTGCGTGGAGTTTGCATGTTCTCCGGCGTGGGTTCTCTCCGGGTTCTCCGGCTTCCTCCCACACAGTCCAAAAACATGTTGAGGTTAATTGGTGATTCTAAATTGTCCGTAGGTGTGAATGTGAGTGTGCTTGGTTGTCTGTCTCTAAGTGTGGCCCTGTGATAGACTGGCGACCTGTCCAGGGTGTCCCCGGCCTTCGCCCTAAGTCAGCTGGGATAGGCTCCAGCCCCCTTGCGACCCTAGTGAGGATTAAGCGGTGTATAGATGATGGATGGATGGAGCACTGTAAATTGTGGGACACTGTTTTCGCAGGTATACGCTTTTCTAAACCATTCCATTCCATTCACCACAGGCGGACGCTATTCAAGCTCATTGCAAGGATTATTCAAACACATTATCAGGTAGAATGCACCTGACCACCTTTTGAAGTGCTGCAGCAGAAGATTTGTCATGAAGTCTGATTGTAGACGAAGGGGGAAGATGCTACTTTTATCAATTTAAAATCCAATATACAGAATAGTAAAAAGTAAAAGGGTCTAAATACTTCCTAAAGCTATTTGCATGCTGGGCATCACATCACTGATGCTTTCCTGTCCGGTTAATCCCTCCACGCTCATCCTTTGCCCCTTGACAGCACTACATGAAAATGACAGCTGCATCTAACACACAGGGTTTAAGGGCAGAGCAGTGAACAAGCACCGAGTGAAGAACGTCTCTCAGTTCAAGAATTCATGCTCAGGCAGCCAAGGATGAAGTTCTGGTATAACACTGAAAAAATATAGGATTTTGAAATCCTAAAATTATTTTCACATGCAAGTATTTTACTAAATATTTGCCCACAGTTGAGCACTCTAGTTCTTCTACATAAAGGTCAGATATGTAGGAGGAAAAGGAGATTAAAAATCAAAGCAGCTTACCTTTAGTTCCAAAAACACTGACTCCTACGGTTCCCATGATGCAGCTGGATTCTTCATTAGACCCTGTTTTCCTGGTAAACGCTAACACCCTTTAAAGCCCCAAGCTTCCAGTGCAGGGTTTACTGTTGAGACACACAATGAAGGCCATCGTGCAGCAGGAAATAATCAAGTATTGCATCATATGACATTCAATGACTTCCCTTCAGTCTCAGTGTGACCTCCTCAGATAATTGAGCTCTACGGTGCACAACAGTGAAAAGGAAAATCTGTTTAATGCACGCACAGTCTACATATGTGGGGATAAGAACATCAGAGGACTTCTGGTTAGATAATCATGATAATCGCGACCACCAGGCAGCGCTCCTGGGATTCACAGACAAAGCCACCCACATCATGAGTCACTCTTGTTTAGGGAATTCCACCCACCTGTAGAACATCCCATCTCGCCGCCACCAGCAAATACATGTAATTCGGTAAAAGAGAGGACGATGAAGGGGGTGACCCATGAATCAAAGCTCATTTTATGCTCAATACTGTCTGAACTTCCCCAGCGAGGGACCAATAATTTATCTTATTTCACCTTATCTTTTCTGGGAACAACGCAAAGCACCAAGACAGGAAGAGCCAACAACACAGAGCCTCTGAGTGTGATATCATACAAGCAAGTGCTGGCTGAGCGTAGAAGGTGGGTGGATGTGAGAGACTTCACATGTTCTGGTGAGTGGACACTGAGCCTCAGAAGGCAGACAGCAGGGCGTGCTGTTGATTAGAGTGCCACCTCAGCAGGGGCGGATGGCTGACACTTGAAACTGGCACTTAGAGAACTCAGAAAGCCTCATTTGTGCAATAAGCTATTCTATGGAGGTTCTTGGCTCGGACAGAGAAAATATGGTGTTGTGGCTACCATGCCAGCATGCGCAAATAATAGTGTGTGTTCTCTGCTCTCATGACAGACTGCAGTGAATCAGCTTGGCTCAGAGTCCCATTCATCCTGCAGCCTGTTGAGCAAAAGTCTGGAATAAGAATAGACTGGAAACGCTGTGATGATGCAACTCAGAGATGACAGCATTTTCATGTATTTTTCATTAAATGACAAGCTATACAGCTGTCTTTGTACTTATCTATAGGGACTTTGCGCATAAAAATCTAACAAATCTGTGGGAAAAATGACTGTTTTATGGTAACATAGTTTTAGTATGTTTATTGTTGCCATGAAGAATTTAACCTTCATGATGTGAATATGTTCAGAGTTGCAGAGAACATAATAGTGGATCACAATTTTTACACTTTTTTTGCCCTATAACTTCAAAAGTAGAGGAAAAAGCCACGTGGAATTCTTCAGGGACGAAACTCACATTAGAGTCCTGTTAAAAACGAAACTAAATCGATTGTACATGTCCAGGTGTCGCAATCTAAAGGCAAATTCTTGTTTTTGCTAGGCACCATTTTTTAACGTAAAGCATCAGTATAGATGCATAGTTTGTACAGCACTGACTGACTTTATCGTATCGAGCCGACATGTCCTGACTGAACGTATTTTCCTCTGACCAGTGTCACGCCTCAGCACGCTGGTATGCTGTCCGTGCTCTCTGGAGGGCAACGACGCATGTGACGCAGTTAACCGTGGAGGAACATGTCTACCTGTCCCACCACACAGCACACTGGCCCTTCGAGACGCTCCCTCGACTGCGCACTTTAAAGGCGCTTTAAATGTCATGTGCGCACTAACTCGTGTTTCGGGAGCTCTTCGCTAACACTCGCGCCAACAGCTGAAGCATGTCGGTCCCTTCCGTGTTTCGCTGCCTGTTTCCTGCGCTCACTTTTCTGCATTTATGTAATTTCAACACTCGATACGCTGTTTTGGACGTTAACGCTCGCGTCGTCATAACCGCCCCGGTCCCACACGCCGCACGAAACACGCAACATGGGATTCCACGTGCAGTGGATGACTTGTTTATATAAAACGACGGACAGCGCTCTGGGCCAATCCGCTCCAGTTGTCGCAATTCCGTCACGTTCTCCATGGAAACCCCTCGCTCGCAGCCAATCGGGGGGCGGAGGGGGAGGAGTCTGAATTGAGGTCGCGCGGCGAGCTCGCCGATTGGCTGGCGGTGCGGAGCCGGAGAGAGCCGGGAGGAACCGAGCACTAGTGTGTCAACCCGTCTGAAGCCCGTCTCCCATTGAGGAATACTGGATGTTTCACCCGAATGTTTTACCCGCTCGTCGGCTTTGCTTTTTCTTGTCACCGCGCACGACCGAAGAGGGGATTTTATTTCGACAACACAGGTCGGTTGACTCTTTTCTTAAAGCAAGAATGTAAAAGAGAGCGCAAAAAAATAAGTTGCATAACGGAATGCCGTGTGCGCATGCGCGAAAATCCTGCTGCTCTACTTATTTTACTTTTATAACCTAAAAACGCCGGCTGGAGTATTTTTCTTCACTCGCATCGGTAGGAAATCGTCTGTATTTGTGAAATGTGTACTTTGTGGGCAGACGGTGGTCGTTTTGTGGCGGGTTTGTGGCGATACGGTTACTTTTACATAACTGTGTCAGTGTACCGTGCAGTGGATTGCAGGTCAACGTGTGTGTGGATTTTGAATAGCAGGTCAATAGGAGTTAGATGGGGGAAGGGTTGTTACCTCGGTTATATCCATGTTTCTTTCGCTATATTCCCTTTAATTTCACCTTTATACATTGTCATTATATTTATATAAGAATTGTGAAATACATACAGTTTAATTAATGACTTAAAAGATTAATATTTGTCAGTTTCCACTTGATGGGACTCAGTCAGCTGAGGCAAAAACACTCTCACAAGTGTTTTTAAAAGTGCCTTTTTTTCCCAATATAGTAGGTATATTTACGTCAAATGTATTTGAGCTGACCATATTTCAACAAAAATGAATTAGAATGACCAAGTGTGTTAGTTTATTTTTACCTTAATGCTGTTAAAGGTCCTTTTGAAGGCCTACTTTCCACACACACACACACACACACACACATACACACATAGAACTGTTTGTCCCAGCCACACACTACCTGAATAGTAGGTCGACATGATAATCACATTAAATACATGATGTGGGTATGGATGCAAGGCTTTTTTGGGGGGAAACCACAGGCAGGTCCTGAGTGGATTTTTGACTTCTCGCTGTGGAAACTGGGAGTTTTCCTGTACGACAAAAGACTGATTAACTCCTGCCAGCATTGTTTGAGCTGCAATGGAGACACTTTGTGTTACGCCTCCCAAAGGAAAACTTACATTTTAGCATATATATATATTTATATTTATATTTTTACAATTTTACCTATACATCATTACTGTTCATTAAAAATGCTAAGTTGTGAGCTAAATTTAATTAACCTATTAGTTGTGTGGCACAGTGGCAAATACTATGATGTCATTTAAGGTGATGATGTAATTTGAATTTATGTATTTCTAACCCCTTAGTAAGAGTGAGAATATGATTTCTCCAAGTGGACAATCTTTGTACTCATTATCTTCTCTTCCAGTAATCTGGAGCTAATTCTGTAGCTTAACTTTGTGTTTGAGGTTAGCATGATTTTTTTTATATCTGTTATAACACACTATTGAATCTTTAACTGTGCTCATGTCGTTTCTCTATCAGATTTCATTAAACAGTTCACCTTAGAGCAGCTAGTTACAAGCAAAAGCATGTGGTTTTATGAAACAAGGCTACCACAGCTTTGTGCTGCACTATAGCCAAATCCATGTGACTGGAGCGGGGTTGTATAATGCCTGAGATCTGTGCTAGTGTGCTGGGTGCATCAGCGCTCTCGCTCTAACAGGGCTGAACTGGAAGCAGAGCGGGCTCATTTTCATTATGTCATTCCTCTTCTCTGTCCTGAGCGTTTGCCTGCACAGTGTTGTGTTTCACAGAGTTTGGAATACTGTGAGGGCAAAGTTGTGATTTATGCACTTGGGGATTCTTGCTTATTTCTTGTCACGTTCAAAGAGGAGGGAGTGTCTGGTAAGCTGTAATCCATACTGCATGCACAGCTTTAGACTGTTGTAATATATTTAAGGTGTTGCTGAGCTTTGATTTGGGGTTTGCTTTGTGTTAAGATGATGAACGAGCCATTATTGTTGCCATTTTGTTTTAGAACGGTGTGTTACCTATGGATTTGTAGTTTAGTTTAATGTCATTTTAGCTTGTTTTCGTTTCATTCATAAGGCACTGCTTCGACACAACAGTCTTCTTTCAGTCAAAATATTTTTACGAAGGGTGAAAAAACACATAGAAATGGAAGCACAGAAGAAGAACCAACAGTTTATTCAAATAAAGGGCTTTTTTCATCGTGTTAACCTACTTTTAGAACATTTTAAAGCATTCAGTGCTGGCTGTGCAAGGCCTTAATACCTTACTGCACAGAGTGAATAGTCTGAGTAATAATAAAAGGCCTTGGTGGGTGTATTTCCAATTAACTTTATGTTTGTTTTTATATAATATGTGCTGTTGCAGTAACTGAGCCTTGAAATTCTTTTAGCTTAGATTTTTTATTTTTATTTTTTTTCTCAAAGCACAAGGTGATATAAGTCTGCTAACATGATTACAATCTGTGGTCTGCTGCCCTGTCTGATTGACTGACATCATTCTTACCTGTTGACTCTCCCTGCTCCCTCCTGATTGGCCATGTGCAACAGCCAATAGGAAGTCTCGACAGAGGCCCGGCTGCCGGCTCAGTGAAACTCATACAGTCTGTGGTTTGAGTCGGGAGTGGGTCACCTCTGAAGGTGGCGGTGAATGTGTGGGTGGCTGGAAAGTCTGCTGGGTTTATTTGTAGCTCCGTAAAACATGAAAAAAAAAAACCCTCGCAAACTTTAAAAAGTTATGTAAAAATGCTTATGTAAAGAGTGAAGAATAGACAAGCTGCTGAGTGTGCACACTTACATAAATAGCTGCAATCCGAAGCCGATCGCTGGAAAACAGTGAAATAGTTTGGCTTCGGTACCCATTGCCAATATTCCCTGTTCGGCATTACCAGACATAAATAGCTCCAAATACTTTTATTCTGCTGTGGAGGGTGTAGGAGGAGGAGGAGGAGGAGGCTGCACACCATGAAAACTGTTGCTCTATTATTTTTATCAGCTTTCCTTTAGAGAACAAGGTTTTTACACCCTCTACATCTTCTGAATAGTCTTACCTAACTGTGATTATACCTCAAGCTCGTGAAAATCAACCTGTGTTTAAGTTGTGCATTCTGTTCATACCAACATACTGTAACTTGGCTGGCGGCTGGCACAGGTCATCTAAGGTGACTCGCATAGTTACTGAATTATGTTCCCAAAAAAGTCCTTTCCTGCTATTTTCTTATATTCCTCATTGACTCAGTGATGCTGCCCAGCGTTACGTAAGGCTATCTTTATTTGATTTGGACTCAAGTGAGCACACATATTGATGATGCTGTTAACTGTAGAAGCCAATACCTCCCCAGAGATTTCCCACCTGTTTGTGAAAGGACAAGCAGAGGACATGAGATGACTCGAATAGCAGACTTTGTTTTAAAGCATTATGTGATTAGCACATCCAGCGGTGTGCGAGGGGAGGCTTTGTGTTTGTCGTGTCTTCATGCTTCGTTTTCATCTCTGCAGATTCACCTTTTGTGTGAAGAAGCTCCTTTGAAAAACTGAAACAGATCACACTGATGTGAGGCTTAAGTCCACTCTGAAAGGGCAAACAACGGCCTATTTACTGTGAGACCTTTAGAAGGACCGATGGCAGCAGCCTTAGTGTGTGTGTGTCAGATCAGTGGTTGACTTTTAACAACACTGACATGGAGGGCTGGACTGGCTGATCAAAGTGTTGGCTACTGTATTTTTAATGGATAGTTGCTTTATCCACATCGATCCTTCCTATTTTGGTACCTTTGTTTTTGTTTTTCTTTAGTATTGACCTGCTATCAATAGACGTGCACCATATTGTCTGGGCTGGGTTTGTATGAGTAATTTCACCTGTTTTATTTCCCTCTTTTAGGCCACATCCCCACTTCTGAGGCATCAACTTGATTTACCTCCTACAGCCATGTGCTTCATGGCATTGCCATGTGGACGGTAACTTGATCTCCCATCGTTTGCCCGTTTGGCCAATCCCATGTCTGAAGATAGTGATCCAAAACACTACCGGTATTCAACCATGGATGGGCGTGAACGGAACCGGGAGAGAGTCGGCTTCCAAGTGGAGGAAGAGCAGGGTGCTGCCTGCAGCTCCATCAGTCAGCTTCACCGCATGGCCAGCAGCTACAACGAGGACTGTGGAGGGCAGGACGGAGTTGAGCTTGAGCCAGAGCTGGGACTGGCCTCTGAGGGGAGCGACAGCAGCCATGAACACCCGGCCTCGCCGGGCTCCCCACACGATGAGCGGAAGCGACAACGCCAACCTTTACACGAGGATGTAGAGATGGGTGGCAGCGGCTCGAGTGGGAGTGGGACCGAGTCCCATGGCAACGAGTCGCATGGCAATGACTCCCATGGCAATGAGTCTGTGGGCAGCTCGAATGGAAACGGCAAGGATTCTGCTCTCTTGGAGTCTTCAGGGAGCAACAAGAGGTGAGGGCACATCATATGCACTGAATCGTGGTAAATGTAGTTTTTCCCGCCACCATGGGGGAGCAGACCATCTAGGTCACGGAAGTACGGTCCATTAAAGTAACTGACGGGCCATTTTCTCCTGCATGAGTCATGGTGGGCTGAGTCATTGTTACAGTCCAGCAGCGGGTGTTTGGGGTGAAGGAAAGCTGTGGGTATGTTATTCCTGATAGTGATCGACCAAATAGACAGCTGCTGCTCGCCCTGTTTCATTTCGAGATGACTTCTTATTGCCTACAGAACCATGCAGACTCTTCAGAGACGTGTGTTTATCTTTTACAAACTCTCAGTTCTGCAGCATCACAACATTAATCAGAGGGTGAAACGCTCGGCTGTCGTTCTGTTTGCTCCGTGAAGATTAGCGCCTTAATTGCATGTTTTTAAGTTTGCCTTCAACTCCTGTTTAGCTGTAATTTTCAGGGGTCTAGTCTTTGTTGATGTGAGATTCAGAGATGTAATGCTCTAAATAACATGCTATCCGCATCTGCTGTCTGAAGAAGACACCTGCTGAAGGTTGGTCGTTACATAATCAGCGCCGATGTTTTCTCCATTAATATGTAATGATAATCAATCGATGAGGCAGAGAAAATACTTGAAACACTTCATACGTTCGGGTACAACACTGGCAATGACTCCATGCTGAAAAGTTGGTGTGGAACCAACCTCTCTGATGCAATATTGAAAGTAAAGTACGGAGCTATTGTCGGGGTTTGCATTTGAAAAACATCATAACTACGTGTATTTTCAGATCGTGATAATGCGTGACCTTTACTTTTAAATAATTTCTGGTGGTATCGGTACAATACTGATATCTGCTGAGTGCTCAGAGCCTCTGTGTTACTTTCTCAATGACTGACACAATGAGTTCAGGGCTTTCACACTCACCTGAGGAATTTAGAAAACCTGTTCAAAAGTAAGACGTGAGCCACAGGCTAACAATGAACGCATTCTTCTCCTCTCTTATATCAACTTATCTGTAGCTTAACGCTTCACCTGATGTCAAAATCCGTGTTAATAAATTCAGACGTCTTACACAGTCAAAATGTATTAAATACAGATGTGTTTTTGCAAATCATATTTATTTTTTACTTTTATTTAAAAGAATACTACCTAAAGACTTTAATCTCATTCCTCTCTCATTTTGAAATAATCAGCCAAAGGAGAAAACAAACCTCCCACCTGCACTGGGTTTATTAGCCACAGGATTATTTCATAACCAGATTTGTATTTCTGTGTCAGAGTTCCCTGCAGGTACCACCTGTGTAGCATCAACACTAGATGGAAGTGCTGCACATTATTTAATCATTTCATACCTTTAATTATACACTGTGTGTTATTACCTATATCATTATTATTATTATTATAATTGTTACGCACTCGGTGTCAGTTTTATTAGATACGACTGCAAAATTAAATGTAATTACATACAACAGATCTGTCAGAAATTCTATGTTTGCAAAGATATGGATAAAATAATGATGAATGAAATAATCCAGAGTGTTCAAAAGTTCTAAATAGTGTAAGGCAAGAGCTCTTTAGTAAAGAAACAACAACAACAAAAAAAAGGATCTAAGAAAATCTTCTGGCATAATATTCAAAGGTAGAGGTGTTACATAACTTCTCTGCGCCGCTCAATTCAAGCGCTGACGGAGGTGGATGCACCAACCTCGACCAAATGGCTGAAACCAACACAACATCCTGTTGCCAAGTAACAATGTTGTGTTGGCTGAGGAGCAGATTGGTGAAACCCCCAAAAAAACTTGTAAACAGCCGAGCAGCCAGCAGGTAGCCGGTGGGCCGGCATCACTGTGTGGTCTACCACTAATGGCACAACAAAGCTCGATGGCTCTGACTGATTCAAGCTTTGTTTGAAGGTGACGCCTCCTGCTGCCTGCAAATGTTTCCCTCTTCCATCTTTCCATCTGTAGGAAGCAGGAGAACACCCATTGTACCCCTTTAATGGATGCAGGAACACAGCAGCAGTGACTCACAGTGAGAACTGCACAGAATGACCACTAGATGGCTGCACACAATATGGACGCTTCACTGACAATATCAGAACCGTAGCAATAAACTATATGTAGTAGTTTTCAGTGGACTGCATTATGCTGAGAGGTGTTCACATGTTTAGCCCACGACATTTATAAAAGGTTTTGTTGCATGTCCTACCCCTCTGTGTTTCCTTACAGCCACATGAAGGCAAAAACTTTGAAAAAATAGAATATAAAGCATTCCAGTTTAACACAATCACTACCTCTTTAATAAACCTATTTTTGAATTAGCAACTCTCAGAAACAATAACTGGATATTCTAAGCTTTATAAAGGCAGATTGAGAGGCAGAGCTGTTGCACTGGAGAGACTCCTGGAATAACGTCTACATTACAGCTGCATGAACTTTTAATATAGATAGATAAATAAAACCTGTTTGGATACATCGGGCCATGATATCTCCGCATTTGTGTGAGCCGCATGATTGTCGCTGTGCTCTGCTGTTATTGGTATTTGAACAGTGTCTCACATTATCAGTGCTTAATGAACTCCGGGGTAACAACAGGCACTACGGAGCAGTTAAATAGAAAGACACTCCTGATTAGAAAGTGCAGATAATTTCACTAAACGACAGCGTTTTGTACCTCGAAGCTCCTCGTTATTTGTGCTCTGATCTATCTGAACGTGTTGGCCTCCTCTAATGCTCAGTGGATATTTTCAGACTTCTTTTTTCCTTTTTTTTTTAAAAATTTGAATCAGAAGCTGAACTTGTGATTCATAACTTGGCGTTCCTCTCTTACCTTAAGCTATTCAGATACAGGAAGCATTTTAAGAAGCTTTCCATTAGCTGATGGCTGCATTCAGTTTCCTTTCAGTCTTTTTTTTTCTGGTGTTCTCTCACGCAGCTGGATGTGATTTCATTAATTTAATCCTCTACATTTCCAAATTCTCATTATGTGTTGTTCCATATTTTTGTGGTTTATTATTGACCAGAGCTACAGTACAATCTGAAGGCTTCTAACTGCCGATGTGTTCTTTTTTTGCATTGAAAAAGTTGAATTACTTATTGGAGATTGTGTGTATAGATGAACTGAAGCGAATGTTTGTGGTGTTCAGGGTGCTCTCTATAACGCCGAGGCCTTGACTTACTTTCCATGTTGAGTCTTACCTTTTGTTATGGTGCTCTGACTGTTCTTGCTCTGTTTTTGCTTTTTCCGTACACCTTCTTCAATAACGTGACATGTTTTTGATGCTTCCAGCTCCAACTCTCACAGCCCGTCGCCACCGAGCAGCTCCAACGCCTTCAGTCTGGTCAGCTCTGAGCAGGACAACCCTTCAACCAGCGGCTGCAGGTTAGTGTGAAGTTTGCTACCAAAGTCCTATCAGTGTTGTGCATGTACAAAAAGACCCTAAAGTCAGACCCACAGGGGAGGAGGAAGCAGCTACCCCGTCATGTTCTGCTCCCCTTGCTGGGTGTGACAGCGCTGGTGAGATCCTGTCATCACGTGTATCCGTCTCATTTACGCCCTGCAGCAGCGAACAGTCCGCCAAAGCGAAGACACAGAAGGAGCTCTTCAAGACCCTCAAGGAGCTGAAGATGCACTTGCCGTCAGAAAAGAGGAGCAAGGGCAAGTCCAGCACCGTCAACACGCTCAAGTATGCACTACGATGTGTCAAACAGGTGAAAGGTAAGACTCGCCATTTGTTGTTTTCGTGCACGTGCATCTTTTACTTTAAGATATTTAAGAATTTGGTGGGAATTGCACTGATCTGACGAATGCATTGATCCATGTTGTCTGCAGCCAACGAGGAATACTACCAGATGCTGATGATCAATGACAGTCAGCCACCAGGGTTAGATGTGTCATCTTACACCATCGAGGAAATCAACAGCATCACCTCAGAATACACCCTAAAAAACACTGTAAGTACCACCACGCTTCACCTCGTCATACAGAATCGGCACTGAAACACTAGTTCTGACTGCCTTATCTGAAGCTGTCTCTTTATGTCAAGTTTTTATTTGGAAGTACAACCAAAAAATACTGTCAGAAATCATGATTTTGCATGTATCAGATGGAGCTAAACCTTTTTTTCAAATGCAATGCCTTTCTGTCACATTTATGGATTTTGAAACAGAGATCTTATGTGATTGTTGTTTTATCTACGTACCTGCAGGATATTTTTGCTGTAGCCGTGTCACTCATCACGGGAAAGATTGTTTACATCTCGGACCAAGCGTCGTCCATCTTGAACTGCAAGCAGGAAGTGTTCCACAACGCCAAGTTTGTGGAGTTCCTGACGCCTCAGGATGTCAGCGTGTTTTACAGCTTCACCACACCCTACCGCCTGCCCTCATGGAGCATGTGCACCGGAGCAGGTACATTGAACACATCAGCTCAACGTAAAAATGTATGTATTTGTATAACAGAAACAGGGTGCTCTGCACATCTTCCAGCGAAATACGGCTGAAACTGGCTCCTGTTAGCTTGAGGACAGCAGGTTTCCAGAGTGCAGACAGAGAGGCTGAAGCACACTGCTTAATTCACTGCCTTCTTTCTGTTAGTGCAATAAAAGGTCCTGAATTAAGCAGAGTACTCCAACCTTTTTGTGGTCTGGAAAAACATTCATATATATTTTAGGCTTCAGCTTTTATTTTAGCCTTACTCCAAATGGAACTAAAATACATGAGAACTGTGGGATTTCTTTTAAGTGGGCCATCGTGGGGGAACTGAAGATGGATTGTAGATTTCCATAGTTAAGTGTGTACTCGTGGCGATCCCACATGAAACACAACACATACCACCTGCACATACACAAGCATCTGTTGCTTCACGTGACCCACCCCCACAGACACATGCTTGTACCCGCATGTCACCTATTTCATTAACATGCTAAATCACACATTAATGAATGCACGCCTACTCCCACTCATATTTGCTGAAGATATAATCACATTTTGGGGCGATCGAATGCTCCAAGTTACCCGATTTGTTCGTGTACTTTGATGCACACCAATGCAAGGCTAGAATTTTGCATAGTGTTGAGAAGCTGATCATCTGAAAGGCATCCATTTGCTTCTCTGCTCCACTTTCGTGTTATAATTCTAATATTTTCTGCTGTTGTTTTAGGATTTCGTTCAGTGTGAGACATCTGCATTACGTGGTGTAATCCTTTAAGCCTTTGCTAGATGGTTGTGGCCTTCTATTCCTTCCTCCAGACTGCGACCTCTTGCTGAGAGTGTGCGAGTTAAAATTTCAAGCGGTCGCATTGGTGCGAGTGCATGACGATCAGCTGTATTGGTGTAGCTGTAACCGGCACAGGAAGCCGCTGTGTGGACCACAGTGGTGGAAAGTAGAACCTCTAAAACGTCAGCAGTGTTTACGCTTACAAATGCGGTCACCTCGTGACAAATGGAGCATTCACAGTTTTTTCCGCTCATAGAAAAGTGTGCATGTAAATAAAATCATTCGGTTTCATTTTGGACAAATCTGACATTAAAACGCCAGATTTATTATTTTTAAAGTCCTGTTTGGTTGCACACCTTCTCTGAGCACACCACAGGTACCAACAGCAGCTACCACAGTCTGCAATGTGGGGCGTTTAGGGAGCATCGGTAAATTATAGAGTCTATCGATAAGAAAATGTTCAGCAGGTCATATGTTTTGCCTGTGACCAGGTGGGAGCTACCACGGTGCTACCAGTGAAACAGTTAGTCTGGAGGCCTGGTTTCTGAAGTACCGTTTACATTGTCAGTCCACTTTACGCTCTGGAGTTTATTCTATAGTCTCATTTACACAGTTTGCGATCATTTGGGGATTTGGGAGCTGTTATAAGTGCAGTGATGCCAAAGCAAGGATCACTGGGTAATCATTGTTTTCCTAGCACGCTGACTGCTCTAAAGCTTCTAAATTGGGCTGCATAATTGCAGAAACTCTCACAATGCCTCTCTAGGATTCGTTTCTCATTCAGACAAACAGCTCAGGTTCCATGGACAGTGTGTTGAATATTGATGACTAACCAGGTGCTTTGGTTGGAAGGAGTTAAGCTAATTCATCCGGCCGTGTATTCATCCCACCTTTTCCCTGTCTCTCATTCAGAGTCGTCTCCCACGGAGTGCATGCAGGAGAAATCCTTCTTTTGCCGCATCAGGTGAGTGGCTGCGGCCGGCAGCTTTTTTAATCTCAGTTTCCTGCTCAAACAATCTGAGTCAGCAGCGGGTTGGGGAGGAAGGAAGTCAGCAGCTGTGAGCTTTTGAACTGCATCTCCATCTAGTGGCCAGATGGGGTTTCACCTTTGTTGCTCATTTGTGTCTTTATGTAATAGTTTGCTTAGGTAAGAACTGAAAACTAGTCTTAATTTAACAGTTGAGTCAGATTTGGCTGTGCAATCTGAAGATTTGACTATTCCTTCTGTTTTTTTTTGTTTTTTTTTTAAATATCTGGCCACGAGAAAATCTTATTGGCATAAGTTTGGACCACATTAACAGTCATTGAAAGTACATGACATGTAGTGGTGTACTACCATTTGAATTTGTCCAAGTACCGAGGCAGACGTCACGCTCTTACAGCTTAATGTTTTTATTTCACTTTCACTTCAATATGTCAGACACTTGGCTAGACATCATTCATCAAAGTTGAGTTTATTCTATTTTCACCATTTGTCTACAGAAGCCTTTATTACTTATTTACTTGGACTACCTAAAGGGACTTTTGTTCAAAGGGCTGAAACAGTACTGAGATGGCGTGTGTTTGTGTTGCAGTGGTGGTAAGGAGCGTGAAGGGGATCTCCAGTACTATCCTTTCCGTATGACTCCGTACCTGATGAAGGTGCAGGATGCCGAGTTGGGTGAGGACCAGTTCTGCTGCCTCCTGCTGGCTGAGAGGGTTCACTCTGGATATGAAGGTGAGATATGCTGGTCCATTCATAAGACGCCACACATGTTATTAGAGCTCATTGGACAACACAGTCTCACTAAAACACTAACTAATAATTCACCCCGTATTGGAAGCTGTTTTAAATACACATCCAGCAGCAAAATAATGACTTGTTCATAGGAAATTGAATAAAATACTTACCCTGAACAGTAATCTGCCCAACATTAGATCACAAACAGAGCAACAGAAAGACATATTTTACTGAAATAACCCACGTCCGCATATGTGTGCAAAAATAAAAGGATCAGATGAGAGTGCAAGCAATCAAAGAGGACACCCCAAGTCCATCTCTTCACAACAGGCACCCATTCAAATTAAAACAAATGTTTATCACCGTTACAGTTGATTTGCTGATACTCAGCAGCTTTATTCAGACACACTGCGTCTACAAACACGGAACAGATGGCGAACCTTATGTTCAGCTTTATAAAGAAGTTATTAACAACTAGTCAAAGACAGACAGCACTGCTCAGCAAAATGCTGCACCACAAACTAGATTTATCTAAAGCAGAGACACGTTTACAACAAGAGTAGAGACTCTGAAGCTAGAAAAGGATTTGGAAAGAATGTAAGAATGTTAAACACTTACTCTACATTTTTATACTTAGCTGCTTTAATCTGATTATGGTATTTATGGCACATTTCTGTTGCGATTAGGCTCTTATTCTGGTAACTAGTTGGGCCTTTCAAAACAAAAACACGGCTCCAACAATTTGACATCATGAATGAAAATAGTCGAGCATCGTGGAGCTGCTTTAATGGGGTTAAATGAAATATTTATTTGTCATATGAGTGTAATTGTACTGTGTACATGTTTGGTAATTCCCTTATTTACAGAGCAATGCTGTTGTTTGTCTCTCCACAGCACCCAGAATCCCTCCAGACAAGCGCATCTTCACCACCACACACACCCCAAACTGTGTGTTCCAGGATGTGGATGAGAGGTGAGTGGACAGTCCGCCGGCCTCACAGAAAAGTCTTTATCACATCATGTGTGAACTCAAGCTGCTGTGCTGGCTCCAGTTAAAGTAATTATTGTTTCTTCACCATCAGGGCTGTGCCTCTGTTGGGGTACCTCCCTCAGGACCTGATTGGGACTCCTGTGCTGCTCAATCTGCACCCAAGTGACCGACCCTTAATGCTGGCCATACATCGAAAGAGTAAGAACATTTGTGAAACAGAACCTGGTTATTAGAATACATGCTTCACTATAGAACAATAATCTAATATTCTGAGTGAGTCCTTCCTTAACTCTCTGTCACTCACACCTTCTGTTGCGTGTTCAGTCTTGCAGTACGCCGGTCAACCGTTCGACCATTCCTCGATCCGCTTCTGTGCAAGAAATGGCGAGTACATCACCATCGACACCAGCTGGTCCAGCTTCGTCAACCCCTGGAGCCGCAAGGTCTCCTTTGTTATCGGCAGACACAAAGTCCGCATGTGAGTGTCACCGAGACTCATGAGAACGCTTTGTCATCAGCTGTAGTACGCTCAAATGTGTTTTGTTTTGAACTTGCTGAATGACGTCGGTACGTTGGTGTGTTTCAGGGGTCCTGTGAACGAGGACGTTTTTGCAGCGCCGGCTTTTCATGGAGGAAAGATCATGGATTCAGACATCCAGGAAATTAGTGAACAGATCCACAGACTGCTCCTCCAGGTATGTACACACACACACACACACACACACACAATATTTACCTACACGCACGAATGATTTGTCAGTTCCTCTAACAGCCGCTCCCTCCACAGCCGATTCACAACATGGGCTCCAGTGGTTATGGTAGCCATGGCAGCAATGGTTCTCACGAGCAACTGGTGAGCATCGGCTCATCCAGTGAGAGCAATGGCAACCTCCCGGCGGGGAACACTGCAGAGGAGACGAGCAAGGCCAAGCCTCCCAGGACTTTCCAGGAGATTTGTAAGGGGGTCCACATGCTGAAGAACCAAGACTCTCAGGTCTGCCTGCGCTCCCCTTCGACTTCACCGTCACCATCCAAGCCTGAGCACAAGAAGGCCACCGACAGTGAGTTCACTTTAATTCAGCCAAACCAGAACTGTCACAGATCACATTTAATATTATTATAGATTAACTTCTCAACTTAGGAAAAGCAAAGGACTGGCCATACCCGCACATGTCCATTTCAAAATGGAGGAGTGAAAGAAGCAAATGTTGCAATTAATTATTAGTTTGTTGTGAAAACGCTTTTATGTGCATAAAGCAGAATCCATATAGCAGAGTCTTACATTTTTGTACAGCAGTGTGTGCCAAGAAGTTTTTTTTGACATTTTCTTCTCCACCTCTCTCTTATGAGCAGCTCAGAGGAGCTTATCAGTGCGTATGAAGGACTCAGCACCCCCTCTGCAGGCCAGAGACAGCACTGCAGCCAGCATGGAGGACTTCACCTGCAAGGACCAGACTGTCTGCTCCTACCAGCAGATCAGCTGCCTCGACAGCGTCATCCGGTAAGAGGCTGCCGCCTTGTGTTTATGAATGATAAAGGATTGCATATCACTGCACGCAAAGCACGCGTGCACTCTCTGATGTTGCATCCTTTCTGTTTCTTAGGTATCTGGAGAGTTGTAACATCCCCATCACAGTGAAAAGGAAGTACCAGTTCTCCTCCAACACCACCTCCTCCAACTCAGATGATGACAAGAAGGGCTCAGAGGACTGCATGCAAGTGCCTCAAGATGCAAACACAGGTACGTACACGTCATGCACCTGTACACACACATTATGTAGGGTATTAAATGTTTCTCACTCTCTTAAGATTTAGCCACTTACTTGTTATGCTGAAGTAGAAGAAAAAGCTTGTACCTAATCAGAGAATCGCTCCTTCTCCTCATCCAGATCCCTTGATGCTAGAAGCCAGGCCAGGCCTGTCGAACATGAAAGCCCCAAAGAAGCCTCCATCTGGGGCAGCTGCGGTGGTTGGAGGCCCCCTGGCACCCCTCACTCTGCCCAGTAAAGCTGAGAGTGTGGTGTCCATCACCTCACAGTGCAGCTACAGCAGCACCATCGTCCATGTGGGAGACAAGAAGCCTCAGCCAGAGTCGGGTGAGTTTTTATGTCCAGTCCTTTTAAAAAGAAACACTCAGAAACACGGCATCAGGTGCATGTTAGACAATTAGCTGTGTTTGACTGGTGCTTTGTTCTACAGAGATTATCGAGGATGTTGCAGAGAGCCCCGCGCCGCCTCCTCTGCCCGTCAGCATGGTGTCGCCACCCAGCCAAGAGAAGGAGGCCTACAAGAGGCTGGGACTGACCAAGCAGGTGCTGGCAGCTCACACCCAGAAAGAAGAGCAGGCCTTCCTGAACCGCTGCCGAGAGCTCCGCAACGCTAGAACCTTCCAGAAGGACTGTTCCACGTATCTGCACAAGCAGAAAGGCCCGTCCCATGCTGAAGGTACAGTGGCTTCCACAGTTACCACATTAAATAGCCAATAATGTCCAACTATACATATTAAATGGTCTCATTTTATTGCACTTCAGAAGGCAGCATGTTAAACGAGAGGAGTACTTTCACATTAGCTTGGAGTTTATAAATATCACTCAAATGTTACTCACAAAGGATCCACCACGATACGAGGCGGCCCAACCACCAGTGGCCGTAACACTACATATACACATTTTGTCAACTCCTCTAAAACAACTTTCTGACTTTTTCCCTTCAGAATCATCCGGACCACGCGGCGCTGCCAAACAAGGCCCCACCAGGCCAGAGACCACTGCCAAAAAGGGCAACCGCAACAGGAAGTCCAAGAAGCCACGGATGAAGCATCCTGATTCATCAGACAGCGCTGTGTACAACCGCAAACCCCGGCCCCCTCTCCAGGGCCTCAACCAGACCTCATGGTCCCCGTCTGAAGCGTCCCAGTCAGCTTTCAACGTCTCCTACCCCACCATGGTGCCTGCATACTCGCTCTACCCGCCAGCAGCTGCTGCTCCAGCCCAGGCGCCCCGCCCTGACCCTTCTCTCTCCGCAGGCTTTGGAGAGGGCCAGAGCACACAAGCCCCAACCACTGCCACTCCGTATTCTGCTCCCATTGTTACTCCTGTGGTGGCTCTGGTGTTGCCCAATTACCTCTTCCCCCAAATGGGGCAGATAGGGCAGATCGGGCAGATCGGGCAGATTGGGCAGATTGGGCAGATCGGGCAGTTAGGGCAGATTGGGCAGATCGGGCAGATCGGGCAGCTGGGAGCTGCTCCTAGAGCCTCATTTTTCCCTGAGCCAGCCCAGACACAACCTGCATACACTACCCAGCAACCTTTTCAGGCCCCACAGCCAGCTTATGCCATGCAGACACAACCCCCCTTCACCAGCCAACAGCCCTTCCCTGTGCAGACTGCCTTTACCCCCCAGCAGCCAACCCCCTACACGACCCAGCAACCTTTCCAGGCCGCTCAGACTGCTTACACCACTCAGCAGCCGTTTGCTGCCCAGCCTTCTTTCCCAGTGCAGACTCAGTTTGTGGCTCAAGCCCCTTATCCAACCCAGCCCTTCCCCTACACCCTAGCCTCCGAGCCTCCCAAAGCCCCCACTCTGGAGCCCCGAGAGGGCGCCGCATCACGGTCCTCCACCCCAGCCTCCGGGACGAGGGAGCCCGCCACATCACCGCCGCTGTTTGAGTCGCGCTGCAGCTCACCTCTGCAGCTCAATCTGCTGAGCATGGAGGAGGGGCAGCGCTCGGTGGAGCGCCAGGACAGCATAGCGCCCTCCGCTGGAGGCCAGGGCAGCATTTCAGCAGCATTGTCATTCGGAGCAGGGGAGAAGAACGGAACCACCATCAAGAGCGACATTCATCAACAGGTGAGAAACACTGTGTACCCATTGGTGGAGTGAGACAGCGTCTCTGATTTAACATCAGTATTGTGTCTCGTAAAGGCTTCAGTCACTTCCACGTAGAGCCCGTCACAGCAGCCAGTGATGTGTGGGGATTCCTCTCTGATGTTCTGCTGCCTTGTGTTTCAGGTGGACTCTCCAGCTGACGGAGCTCATAGCGATGGTAACTCCTCATCCTGTGACCTGCTGGACATCCTGCTGCAGGAGCAGGAGGACTCCCACTCTGGCACCGGGTCAGCCACCTCTGGCTCCATGGGCTCAGGATCGGGCTCTGGATCGGGTTCAAGATCGGGCTCAAGATCGGGCTCGGGCTGCAACGGCTGTGGCACCTCAGCTAGTGGAGCCTCTGGCAGCAGAATAGGTCAGTAGAAGAACATCTGGAATTGATGAAAACTTCTCTATGCACTCAGTAAACTTTGTGTTATTAGCAGTCTCTGATTGCTGAATGTAAAAACATCATCAATCGTTCTAAGTATTTTCTTCCCAAACTGTGTACAGGGAGCAGCAACACCAGCAAGTATTTTGGCAGCGTTGACTCTCTGGAGCACGACCCCAAGGCCAAGCTCAAGATGAGGGGCGAAGGAGGCTCTGAAAGCAGCAAGTTGCACGCCGAAGTCTCAGCTCAAGGAGATGGAGATCATTTCATCAAATATGTTCTCCAGGAACCTCTGTGGCTGCTGATGGCCAACGCTGACGACAAGGTCATGATGACGTATCAGATGCCGTCCAGGTGAGTCACCGACTGGGATTAAGCTAGAAAAGTGTTTACAGTGCAGAATACAAAGTTTCATGAATTGTATGCCGGTTTGAACTATGTAATTATGTGTCAGGCTTGTCGGTAAACTGTGTTTCCTTGTAAACAGGGACATTCAAAAGGTTCTGCGAGAAGACAAGGAGAGATTGCGGCAGATGCAGAAGAGCCAGCCGAGCTTCTCCTCAGACCAGCGACGAGAGTTACTGGAGGAACACCCCTGGATGAGGAGGGGAGGTCTGCCAGCTGCTATCAATGTGAAGGTGAGGAACGGTTACTGATCTGACTGCTGTCTCTGAACAGTCGTTCTGTCGACTCTGCTCTGCTCACTTGATGTGGATCTGGTGGTATCGCCTGTAGTTGCAGGAATGGTGGTTAACAGCATGTGTGTGTGTTCAGGAGTGTGTGTACTGCGAGGACGCAGCGGCGACGCCCATCGAGGAGGACATGCCAGACATGGACATGGGCGAGTTGGGCGAGGAGCTGGGCCAAGAGGGCCAGAACACCCAGAGCCAATCCGAGGAGTCTCAGCCTCAGCCGGACTCTGGCTCTTGAACACTCAGACGGCCAACAGCGGGACGCAACCGACCAGCCATGGACCCTCATGAGGCACACATCCACACACCCCCACACACACACTCTCTGGATATGGGACAATCAGCTGTGTGCCTGACCATCCTGACAAACACACACATACACACAACAAACAGACGGCCGTGTTGTCGGCGTGATGGTTGTGAGGACATGTTTCTATGTGTGTTTGTCATGGGACTGCGACTGGAGTGCAGTTCCTAATGCACCCTGACAGGGGGCAGTAGTGCTTTACATGGGTTTTCTATGCATGACCCACATGGAGTACTTTTACCATCTTACACACTCTCTCTCTCTCTCTCTCTGTCACTAAAATGACTTTTTTTTTCTTTGTTAATTTAATTATTTCCCTTCCTCTCTGTCCAAGACAGCATTTATTCTAAAAGAGACAAAGTTAATGGTAAATGGACATCTTATAAACAACTTCTAAATATATTTGATTTGTAAAAATGGTATTTTGACAAGATAACTGTCACGAGACTATTTAACGATGTTATTACTAAGCAGCCCAGCTTTGCTGTTACAATACTCTGCTGCCCAACGTCATCTTAGTGTTTTCCTCATTAACCACATGATCCCATTGAAGGCCTTCAAACCCTGAGAACCCAGTTGTTTTCCCATCAGGAACATGTAGAGTAGTCATGGTGCTCATTGGATGATGTAGGCCAGGTTCAAAAGACAGGGACTCCAACTTTTTTACGAGGTTTTTTTTAATCTCACAACTCGGACCTATCTGAAGTATCCAGCAGCCGACAGAATGACATGTAACGTGGCTTCAGCTTTTATCGATGGTGACAATCTGATAGATAAAAAAAAAAGCTTCTTATTTTAGTATCTTATTTATTTACTAGCAGAGAATTTATCTAGAGTAGTTTTTTTTAAGCCAAAGCCAAATCAGTTCATCTAAAAGATAATATATTAATACTTCACAAATTTTGCAGGACATTTAATGGCACCAGAGCTCGCTGTCCGTTAACAGTATAACCTCCCAGTGTTGTCTGTTGTTGCAGACCTGGAAACAGCACGGGTGCTACAATCACCTCACCTCAGACCAAGAAGCTGCCGAATGATTTTTTGTAATGTAAAATAATAAGCATCAGAAAATTGAAGAAAGCAACTTGAGGCTGCAAATCCAGCTCAGAGCTGAAGCAGTGCGTGTAGTTAATTAGAGCCGTTGGATTTTCTTTTTCACCTGCAAGTTGCACCATGAAGTGAAACGCTGAGTTTCCTTTTTAACAGAAAGTTTTATCAGTAGAAATTACAGATTATTGTAATACGGTGCAGCTCTACAATGAAACATCCCTTTTAGAACAAATCAGTGCTATTTTGGGGATTTTTTTTTAAATTATGCAACATTGCACAGGCTCCACTTGCACCCTTTAAATCTATTTTTCTGGATTCAAAAAATGTACAGTACTGGCATGTTTTAGTTGCCATCAAAAAGATTCCGAATCACGAGTCTCTGCAGGCGTGTGCGCAGCAACACGGATCCTCTGAGTACTGTGAAAGCTGTTGGTCAGAGCAACGAGTGACACTGAGGTCAGTATCGAGCATCACGGTGGGAAAACAGCACAACAAGTGTAGCAAAACAGGGGATGGTGTTTCCTCGGTAACCTCCCAGAGACAGCAGGGTTACTCAGGTCCCAGGTGGTCGTAGAAGCATCAGCAGCCGTGCACGCCCCTCAGCATCCGACTTAAAGTATTAAGGAAACTGTGATCCGCGTGTAGTGGAGGTAAACGGTGTGAGAACTGGGAACAACTCTGGTGCTACGGCAGAGAACCTGCTGGGGAAGGGCTTGTGAATGTAACACAGACTGGACCAAGAGCATCTCACTGACTTAGTTTGTCTTCATGAACTCTTTCTTTTTTTTTTTTTTAATTCTCGTTAACTTGTCAGAATTTTTTTATTTTTCTATATTCCTCTCGTGCGTGTGTTCTTATTTTATTTGTCTGACGAAGGTAAGAGCTTTCAAGTGTCATCGGGGACGAACCCTACCTCTAATAAATCCCAGGTCATGTTACTGTAAGCAGGACAGAGCACGTGTATGTATGTGGGCAAGGCGCAATGAACAGAGCGGTCAGATACTTTTGTGATTCCGGTGGATGATGAGCCTGAACGGAGAACCTCTGCCTGGACTTTACTGGCAGAGGTTTATGGACTCCTCCTGCTCTCCGTCTCTCTGAACGGAGGCTTCAGGCACCTGTCACCACCTTTAGCACCTGCAGTCTATCTCTTCTTCTGTGCAAAATATCTCCATGGGACCGCCGACGTCCACCTGTGTATAAACCTTTAAGAATGTCTCTTATTCATTTGAACATGTTCTGAATGCAGACGGTGGTTCACGTTTAAGCCTTACTTTTTCCTGAAGGCCTCACAAAGAGGGAACCCAGTTTGAACAAGTTGCACACTGGTGGGCTGTGGGGAGAACCCTGTTCTGTAAATGCATACACGGTACTGGCACATGATGTTGTGTATAGTTATGTAAATTTGTCTCATTGCCACTGTATGAGTCTGTGGTATATTAAACTAGCACAGTTCTGTGCATTTTTGTAGGTGAGATGTGCTGTTTGAGAAATTTAAACAAATGTTGTAATAAAACTACAGAAATATAACCCGTGTGGCGTGTTTCTTCGTTACGACTGCAGCTGAACGAAGCCGACAGAACGGACACCAAGGACACGACGGCATCCACAAATATAGAAAGAAAGTACAAGAAAATAATAATTAATAATGAGCTGTTACTCATGACGCTGTGGGTGGGACGTCGCTTGAGACCACAAATTGACTACAGACACAAAGAACCAAAGTTTTAAAGGAACAATGCCGATAATCAGAAAATGAAAAATCCTGGTCAACTCGAACAGTTTACAACAAAACCTGACTTGGAAACATCCTGTGTAGTGTCACTAAAATGGTTCAAAATTTAACATTTTTAAATCGTAGCTGTTGTGTTATCTTATAATAGCTCCGATTTTTATTTTAATGTGTAAGTATTTGATTCTAAGTGTGATGAAGAACAGGTAGTTTAGACGGATCATGTTGGAAAAATGCAGCAAAAGTGAGTCCAGTGTCTGAACAGATGAAGTCCTCCCACGAACATTTATTGAAGTATGAACCTGTGATGATGATGTGAAGGCAAACGCTCTTCTTCAGGTGTCTGGAGAAGAGCTTCACACTGAGGTAGTATTTTAATAAATGTTCTTGGGAGCATGCAGAGTCTAATAGTTTGCAGTTTTCATGTGTTTTTTTTTTCCTAAATTGAGACATATTTTAAATGTCTGTCTGCATTTTTTATGACAGATTTGATCCTCCTGGACGTGGATGATCCCAGACGGCCACAAATCTGTGCAGAGATGTTCTTTACACATAATTCTCTTCAGCTGTTCTTCGCTGCAGCATCGTTAGAACTCAGCTTGGATTCGAGTCAGGCGGCATACTTGGCCTTCGTTTTTTTTTTTTTTTTTTTTGCTTTCTGCGCCTCCTACCCGCTGCTGCAGCTGTGTTTCCACTTATGTTCAGTAGCCTGGGCATGCTTTGGTGCCGTCTCTCATCCCTAAAAAGTCTCACATTCTGATGTCTTATTTGTTCTAGCAGTTCTTTATCATGTGGAGCTGTTGTCGCACCAGAACGTTTTTGTATTGTAAATAAATTAAGACAGGAGTAGGGCTGAAACGGTAGAACGCTGATGCAGACAAACCTCCATCAGAGAAACCTGGAAAGAATAGAAGGTGTTGGTCAGTCAAAGTGGAAACAGGAAGATACAGGGAAGGTGATCACCAGTAGGTTCCTTCATAGGGTTATCTTGGTGTCTGCAATGATGATTTATGATTTACACGATTGACAATTTTCTCTTAGAGCAGGGGTCTCGAACTCCGGTCCTCGAGGGCTGCAATCCTGCAAGTTTTAGATGTTTCCATCTTCCAACACACCTGATTCAAATGATCAGCTATTCATCAAGCTCTGCAGAAGCCTGATAACGATCCTGATCATTTGAATCAGGTGTGTTGGAAGAAGGAAACATCTAAAACTTGCAGGATTGCGGCCCTCGAGGACCGGAGTTCGACACCCCTGTCTTAGAGGGTGTAAGTAGTGAACTGGTGGTTTAGTTTATCAAATGATTTTAGTTTGGTTTGCAAGTACAGCAACCTTTTTCTCGTTAGCGCTAAGTTTGCACGTTGCAGGCACCAATTTGTGGATCAAACGGCTGAAAATTAAAATTATCCGACTCATTTTGTTCCTGGTAATGGATGTTTAATCACATGAAGTTGGAGGCTCTGTCTGCTGCCTATAAAGCCTTTTAAAGTTCACCAGATTAAAGGACTCTTAGCAGCACTTTGTCTTAAATTCTGACGTTAAACTTTAATGTACAAAAGCGGGAAAATAAAGGACGTAATATTGCTTCCTTTGTACATGAGCATCATACTGTTTATGCACTACATCACTGTGTAGAAGCACATGTCAGACTTATAGCAGCTCTCCTGTCCAATCTGCTCTTTCTACGTTGGATTAAATCACAAGCGAAGTGACTCATCAAAGGCCACCACGTCTCCATAAAACTGCTGTCTTTCAAACAGCAGCTTGAAATGGAAAAAACTCTGGTATGTTTTAGGCCCGTTAAAGTGGTGCTTCGTCAATGAGCTGCTGCACAAGTCGGGTCAAACTCAGGCAGCGGTTGCTGAGATCAGACCTTCGGCCTCGAGTTCAACCAGAATGTTTTGCCTCAGATTTTACAAACCACCTCCAGAGTTGCATTATAGTAGTGAACTGCTTGAGTTTCCTGCAAAAAAACAAAACAATTTATCATCAGATCATCATCATTCGAAGTGATTTCAAGCTGCAGAGTGACTGTGTGGCCTGCAGCACATAGAACCACTGCTGCTGCCGCCCGGTCATAGGAGGCGATTGTTCTCTCACAGTCAGACGGTTTAGAAGCCCGGAGGATGGCAGCTCCCCCGGGATCGGCTTCAGCACCATATGCTCACTGGTTCCGTTGAATCTCTCTCACGCCAACTGTTGCTCTGCGCTAACCTTTAACCTCAGAATTCATATGCAGCCACAGCTGATGCGTTTGGTGGCAGAACTCCTCCCTCTTCTCTGATTCTCTTTCTTTTCTTTTTTTTGTCCCTTTACCCGCTAAAACGAAGTCTGTTAATTTGGTCGGGCCGTCATCTGTCGAGTTCAGTTAGCAGACTGCGGTGATGTGCAGGAGTTGGACGGAGGGAGGAGTTCCCACAGTCACTAAGTCTGAGTGCTTCCAAAAACACAGGTTCTCACAATATTGTGTTTGGAGTGTGTTTTTTAAAGCTCAGGGGAAGTTTTTCCTTCAGCTGAGTCGTGTGTTTGATGAGACAGACTGTAATTTAATTTGGCTGAATAATCCCCCCCCACAGTGGACTCACCTGCTTCCTCTCAGACGTCCACACCTCAGGAACAGAACTCCAAAATCACAGGGACGGATGTGTTTGAGGAACAAACTGTATGTTGTGTGTCTGAAACAGGGCTTCACTGAAATCCACAAAAAGTAGAATTACTACAATAAAACAGAGTGTTTGCAGAATAGCAAATGTTCACACTAATAAACAGTCACGGCATTTACGTATTTTTTCTTTTCTTCAGATAATAATTACGATTTAAGTCACCAGAATCTAGAAAGAAACATTCGTCCACGTCTTGTTTTATATGCTACATGAAGTTTTACAACCACATATTTGGTTTAAGCTGATTTAAATCAACTTTTCTAACAATGTAAACAGAAAAAAACAAAAGAGCAATGATGGAGTTTTGTTAATTATTGCTACCTGGTGTGAAAATTATAAATGAATTTTTACACTTCTGATAACTGAGTTAGTTATAAACACACAGAGTACTTGAACTGAATCTTATTATGAAAAAAAATAAAAGGTAAAAAAGATGAACTAGGGCTACAAATCGTACCTTAGCGAAGCAGCACTGACTGCTGCCTCCACAGCTTCTGATTCTAGTGAAATGAATGCTATTTCATTTAATTAAAGTCATGTATTTACATTTTTTAAATTAAAGATAAATGTCCTATGTAACTTCAGTTCATGTTTTTGTAGATATTTCCTTGCAGCAGTTATATAATCTCTTAAATCTGTGCAGGGTTATTGACAATAACAAAACATTTGCCCCAAATTAAGGTTTTATACATCTGAACCTTTTAAACTCACCTCACATAATGAATGAGGCGGCATACACTGAAATGACCAGTTTAATGAGTCTTGTTTAGTATTTACTGTATTTACATTTATTGATACTTGTCTGAAGTCCACTGATAGATAGATAGATAGATAGATAGATAGATAGACAGATAGACAGACAGATAGACAGATAGATAGATAGATAGATAGACAGATAGATAGATTGTCTGTCTTGTGTAAAAACAGAAATTCATCTTTAAAACAGCTCAATGAAGTATTAAAACATTTTTAACTGTTTGGAGAAATACTCTGGCAGTCAGCTATGCCAGCGGTAGCTTAGCTCCATCCACCAGCTCCTCTGAAACTCATTATCAACTCGTTATATTTCACTTGTTTATCTACAAAAGCTGCTGTAATCCAATGTAGCATGTTTACAGTTTGACTTAAATGTAATGGCTTTATGCTAAGCTAACTAGCTGCTAACTGTAGCTTTATGTGTTTCAGGCAGGTTTTAAAGGCCTTTTCATGAAGTGAACAGGAAGCACAGGAGAATCAGATCTAATTAACCCTTCATTACCTCCACAACACGAGCTGCTGAGGAACAACTCGTAAGTCAAATTCTTTTTGCTGAATTTACGCTTGTGGAAATTATCGTTTGAAAAGTTGACGCACAATTTGAAATGTTTTGAGAGACATAAAGACAGAAATGTCGGATGTAACGTTGGCTTTCTGAGCCATGCACGTCGGCTTCATGGCTTCACTTTTCCTAAAACGTTACGCCGGCATGTCAGTAACGTTTTCCTTTTACTTTGCAGCTGCCACCAAGTGTTTGTAGAAGCTGGAGGACGTGTTCCTCCTTCGTCCAGCCTGATGGATTCCTTCTAACCAACTATCACCAGCGACTACAGATCAGAGATTCAGCTCCAACTGTAAGCCTTCATTTATATTTGCAGACTTTTAAATTTGTGTTGTTGTCCATACCGATGCTTTGACGAGGTCTCATTAGACTTGAGAGCTGCTGGTTGGTGGATTTTGTGACTGATTTCTTTATATGCAGTCGGTGGTTTGAAGCCTGCTGGTTAGTAACTGATCAACAGCATCAACCTTCTCGTCTAGTTTAACCTCCAGCAAATAGTTCAGTTACCTTTCCCACAAAATGTCAAGCGATATATATATGAATCTAACCAGCTTAGGGGGACTGACACTGATGATTACTGGTACGAACAATATCTCTTTATCTGCATTAATTTACTATATTAAAATATCTGAAAGTCACTAAGCTTTGGGTAACATGTCAGAAAGCAGTTAATGGATTAAAGGTGCACTGTAATAAATCACTGTAAAAGTATATTATTAATTGTTTTAAAAGTCTATTTAATACACTACAGTTTGTCATGCATTGCTGCCTCTGTAAAAAAGCTGCTTAAGGCCTTATTGTTTTATTTTTAAATGTTAAACAGACCTCAATTCTGGATCATAAAGATTAAAGACAATATTTTTCATAAAATATATCACAGAACTGAACAATAAACCTCATATTAATCAACACAATACTTAACTCTTTAACTATAAATACAGGGACATTCTGGCATCACTACAGCTTTACAGAAGATTTTGTATGTTATACAGAAATGTGTTACATCTAAACACTCGTAGAATTTAGCTTCATTTTGTCTGTGATAGGTGGTGGGAGCTCGATTATTATTGGTCAAGGACTGACTCACATGACAACCACTAAAGGCATTTAATTAAAAAACTATAATACAACAACTATAATACATCTGTCTGTCTGTCTGTCTGTCTGACATCCTGCATACATCAGTGCAGCAAATAAAACTGCATAATAAAACTTAAGGAAGTGCTGCTAAAGATTTTAATATCCTCTTTGTCAACAGACTGCAGCATAACTGACGCTGAGCGTAATGAGCATCTCGCTGTTGATGACTAAAGAAACAAGCAGTTCTAAGCTGAGATGAAAAAGCTGCAGGTAGAAGTTAGCAGATATTTATTCTGGTCTGTCTCCGGTAGAAGTAGGAAGTCTTGCCACCAGCCGCAGCACCGAAGCCCCCTGACCGTGGTCAGCTCCAGCCCTGACTGGTTCCAACCAGCCGTCCTCAGGCAGTAAAGAGAACAGAGATTGTTTTTAAGCAGAGGCACAAACTTCAACCCAATGAAATCTGGAGGACAAATGAAACGGGGACGAGCAGAGTTCAGCGAGCAGCTGGACGCGTTGCCAGGCAGGGATTTAAACACAGCGAGGGACACGTTTCTCTTTCATGTTCAGCCTCTGCAACAGTGACGAGCCGTCCACAGCGTTTCATATTCCTATGAGGAAAAGTTCAGGCCCTGTTTCATCGTGATAGTTGGTTAGAAGGAAGCCATCAGGCTGGATGAAGGAGGAACGCGTCCTCCAGCTTCTACAAACACTTTGTGGCAGCTGCAAAAAGCAAAACGTCACTGACATGCCGGCGTAACTTTTTAGGAAAAGTGAGCATGAAGCCGACACGTTCAGATGGCATCACAGTAACGGGAAGGAGTGTGAGAGGGACCAGAGAGACCAGGTCTGTTCTAGTCCCGTAGCTGGACCTGACCCTGCTGTCAGAGGGAAAAGGAGAAACTCTGACGTACATGCCTGTGATTAAAGATCTGCAAAGGAAGGAGAACGTCTTTAATTAATGCTGAAAGAAAAACATCAAACAACAGCCATTAATTACCCAAGGAGAAGACGATACTGGTCTCTGTTGTGCTTCCAGTCCATTTGCAGGACTCGTTAGATGAGCAGTAGATCGCCTGCATGGATTTGAACAGATGTACCACAAAATACGTGCAGTCACCTCCTCAGGGCTTCAGTTTTCAACACTTTTTTAATCTAAGTGCTTTTTGTAATGTGTACTTGTTATATTTTAACAATGTTTATTTGGTTTTTGTTTTGTTTTTTTTTGTTTTTTTTATTGCTACTGCTCTTATCTTTTCTTTATGTTTTACTATTTTGTTTTCTTTATTCCTGTATATAGAGGTGAATCCAAAAAAAAAAGGCACAAAGAATTCCAATGTACCTGTCCTCTGCAGATGGCAATAAAACTCTATTTTATTCTAGATGACGACATTTCCGTTGTGCAGATCACAGCAGACCCTCTCGTTCTCATGGATGCTGAAAGTTCAACACTGGACTCATAATATCCACATTTCTGCAAATCCACAAAGAGAACATAAATAACAAATGTTTTAGCAATACTTTTCTTGTTTATGAGCATCCAATTCTTCATGTATATTTTTGGGGGGTATTTTGCTGTTAAAAAGTAATTAGATGTTTTTTAAATTGACTGATATTCTGAATAAATCAATCTAAATAAAACTGTAGATGCTCATGATTTCTTGTTTAAATAAATTTAATTAATTAACCCTGTGGCAAGGCGAGCTGGCACAGACACACAACCTGACTTTGATCACAAATTTATTTATGGCCGGGAGCGTAACCGTTCACCTGCTGCTGCTCAGAATATTCATGGTGCAGAGAAGTACAGCAGAGAGCCGGATGAAGGTCTCACCTGCACACTCAGGAGGACAGATTAAGAGTTGCACAAACTTTTCAATATCAAACACTTTCTTTCTTGCATTGTGCTGAATTTTTATGCACCAAAATGTTCTTTTTTCTGCATCAGTTCATGGTGTAAAGTCGTTATTTATACAAAGGAAACAAAATCAAGTGACGACTCAGTGTGACCATATTTACTGTAGATCCTCAGTGAACGTATCCCTGCTGAGCCAACACAACAAAATCAAAGTCCTCCGCATTGTTCATGTTTTTAACTGAGGGCGATTAATGCACGTGTTCTACATACTGAGCATGTGCATGTAGGCCTGTGACAGTCATCAATAACTGTACATAAAGTCTGATGAGTTCAACTTCAATTAATTACTTCAGCTGGTAACATATAAGTGAATTAATCTAAAGTTAACCAACTAATTCATCTTAGATGGCCTTAAATCATTTGATTCATCTAAAATAAACAGCTCTGCATCGCTGCAACTTTAAGGAAAGTTTCCAAATTGTCCCAAAAATAAAAAGTAAAACAGGATTTTGTCATCAGGCTTAGAGTTGGTGTTTCCTTTTCTTTGTAATCCCACTGGAAGACAATGGTGGTTAAAGTTTTTGTGGACTTCAGATGCTTGAGAAGCTGATTTTTTTTTTTTTTTGCACACACACGTCAGAATATCGGTTGATAGAATCTATAAATCACCAAAGAGAGACAGGTGGGATTTACTGGACACAGTACTTTAACTACAGCTCAAATACTGTTTTCTTTTTCTTTCTTTTTTTTCTTTTTTTACAGTGCAGCTACTAAAACCAGCTCCAGCCTCCATCATCCTCTGATCACTTCTGATCAAGTGTCAGTCAGAAATCACGAATGCCAGCAGAGCAGCAGCCACTGTGTGTGTGTGTGTGTGTGTGTGTGCTGGTCCCTTTGAAGAATCTAAGCCTACTTGTATTCCTTTTACTGTCTTTTCAACTCCGCGGACTTTGACGCTCCTCTGTCAAACGGTGTCCAGCAGCTTTGATCAGCGTGTCTCGTCCGCTCCCATTTCAATGTGTTTCCTCCGACGTTCACACCCAGGTCCTCCTCCTCCTCCTTCTCCTCCTCCACCTGGGCTTACTAATTAGCCTATTCCTCCAAGAGTCCAGGATCATCTGACAACGAGCAACATGATCAACGTGTGATTTTCACCAAATACTGGACGGAGCCTATCGGTCACAAGTATGTCGCGAAATACGAGACACAAGCGTCTTTTTACGCGTGGAAACCGGTTATTCTTTGCTATATAGACCAGGAATGAGGGGCCGTGCTGCTCTTAGAGCCCCGTCCCAGGCTGGATGGCTGGTCCAGACAGGATCTAACAGGCATTTGCTAGCGCGGTCATTGTAGCGGAGGTGAGAGGGGAGACACTCCCGGAGAGGTGCGACTCTTTCATGTGTGCACCCGCACCGCGCGTCCTCGTGGTGCCAAGGAACTGCAGGTCGGATCCACGAAGGAAGGATATTAATAGAGAATAGAAAGTGTATGTTGGGGACATAATGGGAATTTGGAATGAATTATGCTGCACATTTTAATGTTCTACGAGTTGGAAAAGAGAGTTTGGCACATCAACAAGAGGAACTGTGGTCAAATATGCACAACTCACATTCTGCTTCGTACCACTGCGCTGTTCTCATAAATGAAAAAAGTCTCAGTGTTTTCTCAAAACAAACATTTTTACCTGTTTCTCCACCTGGTGATTCACTCCTGGGACATGCAGCCACACCAGACAAAAGCATTCCAGTTACTTTATTTTATTTATGAAATTCCGACATTTTACTTGCAAAACATTTCTAAACATCATTACAACATAAAGTGGTCATTCTTAAGGAGGCTACTTGTCCAATATACTACAGGAATTTATGAAATACAGTAGAAATATTTATATTAATCAGATGCATTGCCAAACTTCTTAGTTTCTAAAAAGAGCTTTTTCTCCTTATACAAATCCCATATACACAGTTATAGACAAAACAAGTGTGACTGTTCCTCTTCTGTCCTTTGTTGGGTTATAAGTGTGCTGAGAAGGAACGTTTTTTTTTTTTTCTTACTCCAGGTGGAAAGAAAAGTCACAAGAGAGGACTTACAGCCGGTGTCACTGCTGAGAAGGAACCAGGTGGTACTTTCGGGTGGGTCCGAGCTGGAGGGGCTCATGAGAGGCAGGTCAGGACCCAACGGATGAGACGAAGGAAAACTCCACAATAATAAGCTTTTAATGATATTCAAAGCACCTTGGTGGTGTTTTCTTATCAGATGTTCCGAAAACTTCATTTAATTATTTCCTACGTTTCCCAGAATGCCCAGTAAAGGCCGGAGTCGGTTGTGGGTAATGAAAAAAATCCACAGTCATGGTCTCTTCTCATATAAAGTCATCTGTAACTCCACTGCAGTTTGGGTAAGCGAGGCGGCTGCCAGTGGCTGAGTTGGTCCCTCTGTCTCTTATAGAACAGGTCTGAATGTTGGACATCAGTGCGGGGTCCAGGGGTTCTGAGGAAAATCCATGCATGTGGTTTCTTAAAGGGGGTAAACGAGACCAGAAATGCTGCAGCCACAAACGGTGTTCTTGTGTTGGAGGGTGGAGTTTTCTCTTTCAGTAGAAAGCCCACACTCCCTGCTTCAGCACATCCCAGCTGTGTCCCACCAAACCCCCAGACTCCTACCAGGGTCTCCACATGGACCGAGGGAAGGCCACGGTGGGCATGCTCACAGCCTCTCTGCTCTCCACACCATCCGAAGAGCTCTGGTTGTGCTCGCTGTCGGTCTCGTCCAGGTCGGAGCACAGATCCTCGCTGGACGTGGTGGAGGGGGCCGGGGAGAGGGCAGAGGTCAAGCCGCTGGACACGCTCCTCCCTCCAGGGGAAGCCAGAGTCGTGCAGAGCGAGTCGCCGCCTCCGTGCCAAGTACTGGGGCTGCTCCCCGAAGTGTCCGTGATTAGATCCATGAGCACGTCCTGGAGGTGGTCCTCGTTCAGGGGCATACACTCCAGCAGGTGGTTGAGGAGCTCGGCTGCCACCGTCGCATCGATCCCAGGACAGCTGGACACGAACATGTGGACCTCGTGCATGCACTGGATGTAGCCGGCCGCAAACCTCTCACTGGCTTCTCTGCTGAGCGTGTCTGTTTCTGAGGGAGGAGGGACAAAGGACACGACTAAAAACAAGAGCGTGCTTCTACGACTGTAACACAACAGCAACACAAAACTGGGACCAAGTTTATTTACCAGCTGAAGTTGATGCTTTCCACTTAACTTATCAACATCTTATAAATGATGATGGATTGTCACAGATTACACAATATATAAATCAGTAAAACCTGCTCCAGCTGACAACATAAAACTGACACTTCCATGTGAATGCATCAATACTAACGAGCCAATAGCGGTGACATACAGATCAATACAAACCTCTGATTCTGCAGAATAAGTGCTTTTGCTAGAAACATAACACATCCAAGTGAGAACACATCGATTAATCAGATTAAATTTGTGATTTAACAGCCACAGAATTAGCTCTTGCTTACCCATCAGCATCCAAAATGTCTTATTTGTGCATTCCTTGGCTTATTTTTTTGTGTGGTATACTCTTTAATTGAAACTTGGATGAGTCAGCTTGGCTCAGCAGGTAATCGATGTAGAGAAAGGTGATGCTTTCTGATCATGTCAGTGTCAGGTCCAGTGTTACGGTTTATCAAAGGCTTCCTTACAGATAAACTACACATTCTTCATGAACTATTCGGCTCAGGAGCAGCAACGCCTGTCTTGTCATTCTCACAATGACAATAAAAACTGTCAATACTTGGCAAAGAACTTTTTATGTTACATTTGATTCATGCACAAAAACGAGCTGGAGTCCCTTTTCTGTTGACCTCAATGTGGATTAAACTCAGCCTGAACAAACCTTGGGTTCGGTTCTTCAGTATGTCCTCCACCTTCTTCACCGTCACCTCCAGCACCTCTGCATTTTCCATCTTGGAATGAAACTGTGGAAACAACCAGACGAGCTCCATCAGAACCAGAATCTACCTCTGCATCCCCTCCCAGGAGCCGCTGGACTGAGGTGCAGCCTGTGCGCTCCGTACTCACGTCTGTGTCTGCCAGTAAAGTCCGCAGCTCCTGCAAACTCTCATTGATGCGAGCTCGCCTCTTCTTCTCCACCAGAGGTTTCCTAATCTGCAGGAACACAGAAAGCAAAGCACACTTCATGGACAGAAGAAGAACCACCCAACGACAGAAGCGTCCGTCTGTCCGTATCAGTGTCTGCGGTCAGTGAATGCGTAAAACCATCGCTTCTTCCTCACTCTCTCATTAAATGTGCAAAAGAATAATGTGATCAACTTAAAAATCATTAGGGTGTCCTCACGAGTGAAACACTTCTGCCCTAAAAGTCTGCAGACGCATCGTTAAAGCGCCGCGACAAGTGCGTCACTGCCAAGTGTCCACAAAGTGCCACCGTCGGTGCCACCGTCGGTACCTTTCTGTCCGCTCTCTGGATCCCGTAGTGGGACTCGTCTTCTTCCATGCCAAGTCCGGTGCTGTTTGGCCGAGTCGAGGGGGCCATGTTGGTTGGATCGTCGCTTCGGTGGCTTCACCCACTGTTTTTACCTCCTGAGTCGTCCGCGAGGGGCAGCTGGCAAACGGAACCGGTTACAGGCAGAAAAAAAAGGATGAACTCGCAGGCGAGGCGAGGCGCCCTGTGTTTATTGTGCAATCCTAGTGAGACGTGCTGCTGGCGCTGAGGGGCTGTTGTTAGTATTTATAGGGGCTTATTAACATGTGAATAGGGGCTGTGCTGCTCTCGCTGGGGGACAACAGAGCGCACACGGCCAGAGCCAATGAGCGCTCACTCCCTTTGTCTGCGGTCAACCCCGGTCTGCGCCCCGAGGAGCTGGACGGGCTTTAATCACACAGTTTGTTGTGTCAGGGGCCCGACCGCGCTGTTTTTCTCTGCTGTCAGTGAAGCGTCTCATTGAGCGGAACAACGTTCATTAGCGCGCAGACACAGGCGCGATTATTTGGGTTTTATAAACGTGCTTCTAAGTATTATTGTGCGAACATTTGATGATTAAAGTCACGAATGGTCACATGTTGGATTTAAACTTAAGTGTGTATTTTAGTCAAGAATTAGTTGTAAAATTAGTGACGTCATTGTCCAAATGAGTGCGTAATGTCTGTCACTCCAAGTTTTGAACGCACCGTTTCTTTTGCGCGTTCACAGCATCTCCAGCACGAGAATCTGCGCTGTCTGTTTTCTGCCCGACCTGCTCTTCTTTCTGACGGCTTCAGTGTCCGAGCCTCAGCAGATTTAGCCGGCTGTTTGGCGGATGTAACGCGATGCCTTCAGTTGGCAGCTGCTGCTGCTGGCGGCCCCTCGGCCTAAACTGAATCAGCCGGGGGAATTAAGGGCCCTTCTCCAAAGAAAGCGACAGGTGTTGGCCTGCGCCTCGTTTGTTCTCTCCGTTGTTTGGTGACTTCTGATTTGTGTGCAACTGCATTCTCACGTTGCCTGCTCTGCAGACAGAGAGTTTACAATATCTGGTTGCAACATGGTGCGTGTGATGTGTGCGCGTAAACATGCAGAATATGAGGCTGTCTTAATTCAAACAGTGTTGGCACTGTTGGTACTTTGTTGCTGCTTGTACTTGTGATACTAGAAAGTCATCTTCTGCGTCTGGATGCGCTGCTTTAGTCCTTTGCGCACAACGTCTATTTGTTTCTGTCTAATAAGAGCCCTCAACCCTGCGCCCTCGTTATTATACTTGTTTTGTACACTTCATTATCATGCAAATGACTCCCACAATAGAGCAGTTCTGTCTGCTCACAAAGACCCACGCATGCATCTGTGCAACCTTCCAGGTGAACGCAGTCGTGTCTTCTCAGGTGCTCCTTTGCGCACAGTATTTCCACAATTTTGCAGCATTTCCGCAAAAAAGCACCACTAAAGTCTAGTGCCCCAAATGAAGGAAGCGCTTCAGACCTTTGAAGTGGAGGTTCTTTTGGCACCTCGCCACCCACAGATCCCTGTTCCAGAGCTTTAATGGTGCGGCCTGTGGAGAGAGCAGCTGTCTCGGCTCGCTTTTGTTGGAGAGCTCCGCTGAGGGACCAGGCGTCCCCCTCTCTGTCTCAGTCCCTCTCTTCCCTCTGGCTCCATGCAAAGGCCAATCATAACACCAATAATAGCAAGAGAATGAGCCATATGCACTCCGACCATAGTCATAAGCCATCCTGGTGTTTTGTGCTTCCACATGGAGATGAGTTTGATGCTCCAAAGTGCCTCCAAACACTTATTTAAAACTTCACTTGTTTCATGAGCTGATCAGCCAACTTATTTGTGATTTTGACATTATATCAGACACAAAATTAAACTAATAAATCATTATTAGAGCCATGAAAAAACGTACGATCCAGCCACAGACACCCTTACTCATTATTTATGTAACTGACCTTTCATATTGTCTCTCAATCACAAAACACACATAACTATGATTTATCATTACAGTCCATGTATTTATCATTCATAACGCCTACAAGTATGTATCGGCAGGCACTTAGAATAATAGGTCAGTTCCTCAAAATCATACAGACATGAAGAAACATATTCATATGGTTCGTGTGCTCAGGTTTTGAGACACCAATCTGTCAGGGCTGATGGAATTTGTAAACCTTGAAGGCAGCATGTCTCTCCAGGAACAGTTGCTCAGGATGATCCACACACCTCACTGTCTGCCGTTATCACTGAAACTGCTTTTGAACAAGGAAGGTCCAAATGCACGTGTTACAAATACCATGAAAGATGACCTTGTTCTATTTAAACCTATTTAAATGCTCTAACATTGTTTGTTCTATTACAGACACCTGTGCTTGTTCCTGCCGTGACATGTCAGAAATGTGTTCTGGGAAAAAAGCCTTGAGTTATATTTAAAAACATAACTCTGGAGCTGCTTTGCACAACTATAGACGGTGATTCAGTGTTACTGTATGATTCGGGGGCAGCGACCTTAAAGTGGCACAAGACCAGGTGTGCAGAGACACGTGATCATTTAACAAGATGTTGTGGCTTAAAGAGACTTAAACAGTAGCAGGTATTTCATGTCAGATACGGACAGGTGACGGTTTAAAGGAAAACCCTGAAGTGTTGATCCTAGCGAGGGGATCCAGCAGCTCTGTTATGGTGTGGGGGGGCATTTTACTGGCATGGTTCCCTCCACTTACGACGAGGTGTTTCTATGCTGATGGGAGTGGTGTCCTCACGTTATTTCATTACTGGATGCTTTGATGAAATAATATGAACCAGATGCTGTGACCTTAACAGGCATCAGATCTCAGCCCGGTTGAACCCCTCAGGGATATTTTGGACCAACGTGTCAGCGCTCTCCACCAACATCATCAAAATGCCAAATGAGGAAATATCTTGCGTTCATCCGTCCAGTAGAGTTGCAGAGACTTGGAACATCCAGGAGCATTGAAGCTGTTCTGGTAGCATGTGGTGGCACAAGACGTCACCGAAACACCTTCTGTTAGTTCCACTTTTAATTTCTGTTGTCACTGTACCAGAAGCTCTTCTTCTCATTGAAGCCCAGGTGTTACTGATAAGGTTCAGGTTAACTGGATCCTGGTGCTGTTTGCCGGCTAAGTGTCACATCACTGAGGAACACTGAGACATGCCGGCGTTTCTTGTTGTTATTTACACCTGTTTGTTGTGGCTCGTTGGTCTAGGGGTATGATTCTCGCTTAGGGTGCGAGAGGTCCCGGGTTCAAATCCCGGACGAGCCCTGTAGTGGTCTTTCTTCTTGAGGATGGTGGCGGCTCCAGGGTCAAGGCTTCTGATCAGAAGGTCAAACTCAGTGTTGAGCAAGGTCAGCCTGACCCTTCACGCTCATAAAGCTGCTGTTCATCCTATTGTGTCCTCTAAGACGAGTCAGAATGTCTGCTGTGATAAAGGCACACATTCTCTCTACGTTTGTTTGATTCACGGAGCTAAACCATCTGGGTCTCGCTGGGTGTTTCACTTCCTTAGAAATAGTCTCTGAGTTTATTCTCTGAGGACTGATGCCTACTGCTTGAAACTCGGTGGGACTGAAGTTGCAGTGGCAGCCTTTAAAAAAACGAACTAGAAGAGGCTGAGCAGGACGCACTGAGCTGCAGAGTTCGCTGCTGTCGTCTCTGTATGAGACCTGTTGTCCTTACATGACATTAGAGAAGCTAATGTGATGCTTTTTATTGATTAATGGTTGTATTTACTATCAGATGTACGTCGCTTTGGGTAAAAGTGTCTGCCAAATGAAACTGTAGCTGTAGAATTAAATTTGTTTTAAGATTTAATCAATGAAAATCTTCTTATTGACCATAAAATGTTAATCAGTAGTCTGACATCTTTTATGCTTTCCTGTTAAGATGTATTGCTGCTTTACCCTAAAATGCTTAAAATTCTGACTGACCATATGTGACAGTAATGCCAAGTTGAAACACGCACGGATAAAATTGTAAGACTGTGATGCTGAATAAACTGAAACGTGACCAGTGTGAGCTGCTGTGTGCCAGAAGGCTGATGTCCTGTCCGGCACCACGAGGCCGCTGCAGCAGAAATGTCAAAACACAACTGACAAGTGCAACTGTGCACGAACACGACCTCTGACCTCTCATAAAGAAAACTGTGTGTGAATGTGTAACAGGTTTATTATTATTAATGTTTAGGTTAATTATACAGCAAAGTAGGAAGACATAGAAATCTATGCGATGCCAAGCAAGTGGTCTAAGAAGCAAAGTCATGCTTTATAATAACAAATAAATAAAGCTGTTAATACAATAAATACATGAAAGATTAATAAGAGCCTTCTATAATGCAGGCTACAAGAAGTCGACTTCTGAAGGGAAGTACTGAGAAAAGGTCTGTATAGAATCATAGCACACCTACAATAATAATCATTGGAACAAAACCGCCCCACGTGTTTGTCTTCTGAGCAGCATATCTATAAGATACATAACAGGATGGTCTAACAAAACGGAGAACCAAGACGATTAATCCAGCGGTTCACCAGGGCCTCCACATCTCCAGCATCCCCAGGTGGGAGCTGTGGAGCGCCGACCTCTCCTGACGTCCAGCCGCGTGGCAGCCGGGCGCCTCTCTGTGGAGCTGCCTCCCGCCCAGGGGGTCTCCTCTGAGGGGCGTGCCGGGGACGCCCTGCGGAGGGGGGACGGGCTGGGTGAGGGGCCGCTCGTCGGTGGACCTGGGCAGGGACTTGAGGAGGTGGTTGAGCAGACGGGAGCCCAGAGTTTTGTCCATCCAGTCGCAGGTGAGCAGCATGTTGTGGACCTCGTGCATGCACTGGATGTAGCCTGTGCTGTATCTCTGCTGGGCCTCCAGGCCTAATGTGGGGTCTGAATTAGAGAAAGGACAGGAGGAGTGAGGCTATGTGTGTCACAGTGACACCTGGTGGCAGAAACACAGTCTGCAGCCAACACCAATTTGATTTGAAGCTATTTTTCTGTCTGAGTGTGGCTCAGAAGGCCTCAGTTTACTAAAATAAACATTTCCATCTACATTCATGCCACATCCAGACGCAACACTATTGAAACCACTGCTTGTTTTTTATTTTCAGATGCACTTTCTTTTCCAATGTGACATATATAACATTTTATGTGCTGTGCTGCCCTCTGCTGCCTCATAGCAACTAGGTCAGTGGATTTTAACCCACTTCACGTTAGAACCTCATGTATATATCAGGTTATTGTGCGAAATCCCCCCACAGGAACCCCCATAAAACATCCAGATAACACCCTGTTCTGTTTAATCATCTTGCCTCAAAACTCACACAGACAAGACCACACACTCACTGAGACAGGTGTTTCTTACCGTTGAGCTTATTATTCTGAATGTTCTGCAGATGTTTCACTGTCATCTCTAGAATATCAGCTTTCTCCAGTTTGGATTGCTGTTGAGAGACCAGAGAGACTTTAGAGTTTCCTTCCCTCAGCCTGCATTGTTTCGACCAGATGAGACACTTGTGGGAATACTCACATCCAGCCTGAACGCTCCGATCACAGTTTCTTTCAGCTGATCCAGACAATTATTTATCCTCTCCCGTCTTTTCCTCTCAATGAGCGGCTTTCTCAGCTGTGAAAGTACAAAAAAAAACGCACGGATGAAGGTTTTAAAAAAGGCGTGGAGTGGAGGCACCACGCTGCAGCGCACACAACAACGTGTGTTTTACACACACTTTAAAAGCAGTGTATAGTATTTCCAAGTGTAAAATACCTTTCTCTCCTCCTTGGCACTGGGATGTTTGTCCACGTTGTGCGCCATAGATGAAGCAGTCATGTTTGTTCCTCCTCTGCTGCGTCTCTTCTGCTCTGAATCTCAGCGCGTCTCTAGGGTCCTCGGCGCGCCACCATCCTCTTATTTATAGGGCGCAATTAGCATGTGAATGCGCCAACTCTTTGGCTGCGGGATTTTCCCACACACGGGGTCCCATCAGTCAAGACTGACAGGTCACTGGCTCCATTCAATAACCCAGAGACCCGGCCTAGAAAGAAAAACACACACACACACACACACACACAGTGCTCTGAAGCGACAGATGTCCAGCCTGAAACCATGCACCACCCTCCCTGCAACCCTCCACCCAACAACAAAAAAACTGCAGTTTCCTCTTCTCCCAGGGACGAACAAGAGTGTGCAATTACCGTGCAGTACTCCGGGGAGCCCCTCGCCCATTCTATTCAGGAGCAACATTACACTACCTGCAAAAAGGCCAAACCTACTTCCTCAAAGCGCGCAGGCGGACACAAAGGCCGGACAAATCACCTGAGAACATATCTGCCCACGTACAGATCAAACTATTACAGTATTGAGCTATATGTGTGTATATTTCTGAACCCTGTGGGCCAATAAACTGCTAGATTTGCGTTAAGGCAGCTCTTCTTTGTGAGGAATACATAAACGCTTTGGCACCCAAAAAAAAAAAAAAGCCCCCAAAACCTCGGGAGCGTGTTTACTTTGATCACATTCTGTGTTTTCAAATGTGAGACATCTGCTGCTAACTGTTAGCGAGCAGATGTCAGATTGACCAGATGTCCCCCCACCTTCGGGTCCCTTAAAGCAAGAGGCCCCTGTTTCAGAGCCACGCGACTGCCAGGCGAATGCCGGGTCGTGGGAAACGGGACCGAACAAAGGGCGCCATTCATCCAAACCTAATCAGCATGAAGAGAGGAGTAACCTTCAGAGAGGGTGGACAGTCCCGAGGCAGAGGAGGAGCAGGAGGAGGAGGAGGAGCAGGAGGCTCTGGCAGGTGACCAGTTAATGACCAGCAGCTCTTCAGGTGTAACATAGCAACCAGTCCAGCATCCAGGCAGCCACACAAACCTGTTGGAGGATTTCTTTAGAAAGCATTAATTAGGCCTGTGTGACATTTACGCAATGCCGATTTTGAGGTATTTTACTTTTATTTCATGCTCCAGAAGGAAATATTGTTCTTTTGACTCCATTTCTGTGACAGCTTTAACCACTTTAACGTGAGGATTTGATGTCACGGATGATATCGCAGGCTTTTAGAATACAACACACTGTGAAACCAACTTTTTTTTTGGCTTTTGCAAACATCTGTGCACGCCTGTGGTCAGGTTTTAGATGTCCAGAGTGATGACCAGATCCACCAAACAGTGATCTTTGAACTTGGTTTAATTTCAAGAAATGCCAGAGAAAAAGTCCATAAAGCAAAAAAAAAAAACTGATTTGTGTTTTTTTCTCCACAATTAACCATCTCCTCGTGACATATATAAAAACTATACCCAAACAGTACTTATACTTTCATACTTGAACTACATTTTGCTGCTAAGTACTTCTACATGAGTAGGATTTGTTATATAGGCGATGCAGCATTTTCACACTGATATATTGACAGCTTCACCACTGGTTTTATTGTTAAGTGCCTTATTAAAATGGCATTACCCAAATAATATTCTTGCTCAGCCGGCTCAACACCAAGTATTTAAAAACATCAATAGAGTACATTCACTGTATGTGACCTGTTCCGATCCAATAACATGTTCAGTGGTTTTAATGTGGACAGATTCAAGGAGCTGCTGCATCCTGTTGGAGAAAATACTTCCTCTATACCCACAAAAACCTTCTGTCTGTCTCTCCCCCCCAAAAAAGACGACATGATGATAACACTTCACAAAGGAGCTCCCGTGCAAACACTTGGAATATTACTGCTTTATTTATGTATTGCGTCAGCATTTCTTCCAGCTACAAAACTGATGTTTGGATCAAAATACAATTTTTGCAAACAAGAATATAACAGCAGTCCCTATGAAAGCTGGGGTTGTTGACATAACTTTTTTCTTTCTTCTAAACCAACAACTA